GCTGTGCAGGCCTCCTGCCTGCTGCAGGGGATTAAATGGCACCGCCACAGTCTTTGGGGGGCACCTGGCTCCCTGGCTCTGCCCACCCCTATTCCCTTTAACTTCTTGCTGCCCGGGGTCCTCACCGTCATGTTTAGAGGCATATTTTTGCTCATTTTTCAGTGTCCTGTGTTAGACGTTGAGGACACAAAGATGAATAAAGACCTAGGGCAGGGTCTGCCCAGCCAGAGGTGCCTTTATCTATCACTGTCCCTCCTCACGCCAACCTTGGGCCCTCTGAGACCCTTAGTCTCTCTCTCAGCAAAACGCTTCTTCTCTCTCCAGTGGCTCCTTGCAGGACATATGGTCAAGTCACTGCCTTCCTCAAACTATCAAACAAATAAACCTTTTCTTGACCTCATGCCCCATCTCTCTTCTGTCCGTCTTGGCCAAATTTCTGAGTTGTCTGCAGTATCTCCACTTCCTCACTAAAGACACTGTCCACCAGACCCATCTCCCCCTCTTCCTGGGCACACAGCTGGACTACATTTCCCAGCCTCCCTTGCAGTGAGGTGTGGCCACATATGTGAGTTTTGAGCAGTGGGATGCCAGTGGAAGACAGCAAGCCACTTTCAGTCTTGCACCCCCAGCACCCCACAGCACGTGCTTCCTGCACTCCTCCTGGGGCTGGCTTGATGCAGATGAGCATGGCACCTTAGGAAGGCTTGTGCTGAAGATGGTGGACCCACAAGACAGAGGAGCCAGGGTCTCTAAATCATTTTGGATGCCAGGTTCCAGCTACTCAGGAACGCCTGTTGTGGTTTCTTTTTCTTCCTTCCTTTCTTTCTTTCTTCCTTTCTTTCTTTCTTTCTTTCTTTCTTTCTTTCTTTCTTTCTTTCTTTCTTTCTTTCTTTCTTTCTTTCTTCTTTCTTTCTTTCTTTCTTTTCTTTCTCTCTCCTCTCTCCCCCCCCCATCTATCTATCTCTCTCTCTCTCTCCCCTTCCTTCCTTCCTTCCTTCCTTTTCTCTTTCTTCTCCTCCTTCTTTTGTTAGGAGGGAGAAATAAGCTATCATCATGATGGAGCCACAGAAAAGATCTGGCTTGCTACACACACACACACACAAAAAGAGGAAGTTGGTTCCCCTTCTCCTCCATCTCCCCATGTGGGACAACCCAGGAAAGTGAGGGTGGGGGCTGTAACTCTGCAAAGAGGTTTGAAAGGGGAAATTATTCTAGGAGAGATTTCCTGGGGCAGGATGTGGCCAATGAACTTACACAAGTTGTGGCTGACCTTTATCTTGCATTAATAGTTGTTCCTGTTTGATTTGGTGCTGTGATTGCATTGTGCCTCCCTCAAACCACCATGACAAGTATGTGAGACTCCTTGCGGAAATGTGAAAGGCAGGACCACAAATGGGTGAACAGGCCCTGGAGACCTAGGCCTCCGGCAGGGGGCTGACATGGGGCACGTGCTAACACCGCTGACAGAGGTGGCAAGGAATGGGTTAAGGGGTCTGTGAGCAGGATTGGCTCTCTGCTGCAGTGAGGGCACTAAAATCAGCATGTCGCCTCCAATTTGCTCCGGCCTGACCTTGAACGTGAATCATTCCATCACAATGTCCTTATTGATTTCCACAGGAAGAGGATTAAGCCCAGAAAATCGGGGCTGGAACTTGAGCCTGAAGCAAGGAAAATGGGATGGTTCTGGGGCTCAAAACCCCTCGTGTTTGCAAATACGTCACAGGGGGCTGCAGGCTGGGCAACTGCCCAGCTCGCTAGCTACCGGCTCTCTGAGTGGCTGGGTCCTGGGCTTCTGTTTCTTCCTTTTAAAAAAAATTAAATGTATTGGGGTGGCATTGGTGAATAACATGATGTAAATTTCCAATGTACCATTCTATAACACATCGTTTGTGTATTGCATTGTGTGCTCACCCCCCAAAGCCTAGTCCTCTTCCGTCGCCATGTATTTGACCTCCTTTACCCTCTTCATCCTCCGGCCATGGGCTTCTACCTCTTACCTGTCTGGTGTGTGGCCTGTGGGGTTTTCTTAAGTTTTAAGTCATGCACAGAGAGTAGGGAGGGAACAACTAGATACCCCTTGAACCTTGAGGCTATTCTGGGGTGGTCACTTCATCCCTTTGTACAGAGTGACCCTTTTGGGACCTTCAGAACCAAATAGGCTATTCCAGGACCAGTGCTGCCATTGAACAAGCTGGCTCAGTCAGCCAGGAAGGGCCCTCCTCAGCCCTGAAAACCCTTCAAGGGAAAGAGATAGATCTAGGGGTGTGAGTGTATATGTGTGGGTGTCCTCACATAGGTACACAAGGGAGGTGGGTCATTTGGTGGGAACTGACCCACAAGTTTCTTTCTTCATTTAACATATCCTGGAGAGCTCACCATGTCACTATACGAAAGGGCTATATGATATTCTATGGTGGGGCTGTACTAGTTTATTTAATCACCCCACTGATAGGTATTTAAAGTTATCACTTTTTTTAAACTTAAGACAAATGCTGCAATACACATCCTGGCTGACACATGCTTTGTTTTGGTATAAATTACTTCTTTACATGCTGTATAGGTTTTTCTTATTGCTGCTGTAACAAATTATGACTAACTCAGTGTCTTAAAATAACACACATTTATTCCCTTACAGTTCCGGAGGTCAGGTGTCTTAAATCAATTTCACTGGGTTAAAAATTAAGGTGTTGGAAGACCTGTGTTCCTTCTGGAGGCTCCTGGGGAGAATTCATTTCCTGCCTTTTCCAGCTTCTAGAGGCTGCCCACATTGCTTGGCCAGTAGCCTCTTCCTCCAACTTCAAAGTGCATCACTCCTCAGCTTCTGTTATCACATCCCTCTCTGACTCTGAGCCTCCTGCCTCTCCCTTATAAGGACCCTGTGATTACATTGGACCCACCTGGACAATGCAGGCTACTCGTTCACACCCACAAAGTCCCTTCCACAGTGTTAGGTCACACAGCCAGGCTCCTGGGACTAACCATGGACATAATTGATGGGCCATTGTTCAGCCTACCCCATCTGCCTAGAAATGGGATGGCTTAATCAAAGGGGATATGTATTTTTAATGCAAATCAACATCTACAAATTGTATCGATGAACAGTCGTATCAACGTCACTGGCATTGGCTTTTTGAGAGCAGCTGGGCACCATTAATTAAGGTTTAAAATCCTCACCTTCTCCAGCCTTCCCTATAGTGTGGAGTACAGTATCATGCTGATTGATGATTTACTTGTTAATCTTTCACTAAAGTGTTTTAACCTAAAAGATTTGGTTTCCCAGGAGGGAGCTGGCAGAACAGGACTGGGCGTTTTGGCCAAAAGGTTGGGGTGGGAGGTTAGCTTCCAGGAGGAGCAGGCAGAAGTGGGTGGCTGGGTGGGAGTGAAGGTGAGGTTGGGGATAAAAAGCCAGGAGCACTGCAATTCCAGTGAGGGGGCGGGGGGTGATTATCAAAGCTATGGGCACCTGTGAGTGTAAGGTGGGGGTGGAGCAGGCAGCCTTGGAACTGGTGGCAACTAGAGCCAAGGAGGGTCAAGTCAGCAAAGATGGGTCACCAACAGCAGGCAGGATACAAAGAACAGGCACCTGAAAGCCTGAGGACTCTTCCACACTCAGGCTGCACAAAGACGTTCAGGCCCAGGCTGGCTGGCTTGACCTGAGACCCTCTCTCCTTTATACAACGGCTGACTAGGAGTAGCTCTGTTCAAAAGCTGCCTGCTTGTACCTGGGCGTAAACAGATGGGAGTGGCAGTGAGGTGACGGGTGAACAGCCAGGGACATTGGGATGCCAGCAATAACTAAAGAATCAGCTTACGTCTTAATCTAAATGTCTTGCTGTATTATAGAACCAGTATTTTAAAATCAGTTCTCTTTAAAGTTATGTTTAAAGCCATGTTCTGTTGAGCCCAGGGTTTGAAAGTCTCTCTGAAAGCTATTGATATGTGACCTAGGGAGCAAATTGTGCCAACAAAGTGCCTGATTACAGGCCTTTGATCATCATCAATGATGGAGAAGTGTGGAAGCCCTATCCCACCCCTACTCTGGCTACAATGATAGGACATTAAGAAGTATGAATTTAAGGCTCTAAATGTTCCTCTAAGTGTTGCTTTAGCTGCACCTCACAAGTTTAATGTGTCATAATTTCATAATCATGCAGATCAAAATATTGTCTAATTTCCACTCTGATTTCTTCTTTGATCCATGGCTTACTTAGAAGTAGCCTTCTTAAGAGTCTATAAAGCTCTCTTTTCATTAGGAAAAGTCCCAGGGTACATGTTAGCAGACAGAGGTACCATGAGGAGAGACACTTACTTGTGAAATAAAAACCAAGGCTTCCAAGCGTTAGCTTCAAGGGAATGCTCTGCCCCTCCAGGTGGGGTGAAGCTCTTGCACACTAAGCACTGACTCAGGCCCTAGAATTGTCCCCCTCTTATTGGCGGGTGCTTCCTCAGACCTCCGTTTTCCTACTGCTCCCACATGGGGCAACCCAGAAAAGCATTCCTCCACTTGCCCCTTAGATGTGCCAGTGGTCCTTTAAAGTTGGAAGGTCACTAAGAACCCAATCCCTGGATTCTCCCTAACCCTAGCAGTCAACAGTGGCTGCAAAAACTTACTGAGCTCTATGAGAGAACAAGAGGGAAACAGAGGAACGTTGAGAGGCTGACATGAAACCTACCCTCAGGGCCTGCCCTATCCACGTCCTGTGTGAGAGGCATCCCTCCCTGACCCCACAGAGCTGGGACCACTCCTCAGGCTCCTCACCTGGGTGCTAGCTCCCTAGTTCCCAATGTCCCCTTCCTTCTGCCCAGCCCTTCCCCTAGGAGTCAGTCTTCTATCAGTTCAATTCCAACCAGCAGACGCCCACGAGGGGCCTGCTCTGAGTGGAGCATGGTGCTGGCCACAGGTGGGGCAGAAGTCGGGGTGACCTCCAGGGCTATAAACTAGGGTCTTCTTTTCATAGCTGAAACTTCTTCAGATTCAAAGCAAACCTGACACCCTCAGAGATGCTCTAAGGCTCAGTGTCTTCCCATGGTTTATTGGATATATAAACAGAATAGGTACAGGCACAAAGAGGCTGCAAGAACAGCTGGGACCATGCTGGCACAGGCCCCTAACCCCAACCCTAAGGATACTAGGGCAGCCACATGTCTCCAGACATACAGGGCAGTGCTGGGGCCTGAACCTCATGTTCATGCTCTTTGGCCCAGCAGCACAAAGGGGCATGGTGTGGGGGGCACCTGCAGAGCAGGGTGGCAGGGGGCCCTGGGCTTGGCTTTAGGAAAGACACTCTGGTTCAGAGACAAGGTTCTGACAGATGCTCAGAGACTCAGGCTGCACACACACAGGGCCTGTGTTTTCCACTGGCAGATGCTCTCCTGCTGAACAGTCCCAGGAAGCAGTGAGCTGGGAACTGGCTGGACCACAAAACCCACACTGAGGCACCTCCAGAGACCAGCTCTGCTATGTTCTTGGAGAAAAGTCCATTGCAAAGCCAGGAGCCACCCTGAAGGTACCCATTAAACCACCTACGGCCCTTGGAGTGTCCACCAACACTGAGAGGAGTTGTGCTGGACCCTCGCTGAGGAAGGCATTCCCTCCCGTCACCACCTCACAAGAGCCAGCCCACCTAGCAGGAAGGCTGGCTCTGGGGATGGTATGGAGCAGGCATGGGCCTGCTCTGCTAAATCGCTCCTGAATCACAATGTCAATTACGGAACTCCAGGGCACCCTTCTTGGGGCTCAGGGAACTTGAACACCACCAAGCCCACTCCTCAGTTTCTGGACCTGACCTCACAGATGTCGGTGAGACTGAGCCCAGGAACCCACCCTTTTTGCTTTTGGGAATTCCTTCTGGGTGACTACCTGCAGGCCTGCATGTTGCAATTAAAGCCCCCTTTTCTTTTACTGTGTCTGTGGGTCTCCCGTGGTCAAAAGGGCCAAGAAAGAGAAGGGACCGTCACATCCTGACCCTGCACTTGGCATTGGGTCTAGCTCTGGTCCTGGCTTCTCTGGAAAGCTCTCAACCCCTCCACCAAAGCATTGCAGCCAGAGATGTGCGGGGACTGCTGCCCTTGATCTAGGGCCTATTCTAGACCTCAAGCCAGGGACAGAGTTGAGTTCTCCAAGCCCTCAGCTGTGGCAGCTTCCCAAGTGTGAAGGAGGGGGAGCCCAGAGAGTGAGCCAGGATGGCCAGGTGTAGCCTGTTCTGGTCACTCTCTCTGTGTGCCTGCCATACCATGCTCAGCACGTACCAGCTCTCCAGACCTTTACTGCCCCCCTGCACCCTCCCCCGCCACATGCACATTGGGCCAGCTGGAAGTAGAACGTGGGGGTGGCAGAGGTGGTCCAGCCAGCCCCAGCCCAGCCCCAGGCCTCAGGACCACTGGCAGGCACAGTCGATGGGTTCCTGCACTGTGTAGGGCACCCAGGTGGCGTTGATGGCACAGAAAAGCTGCACGGAGCGCCGCTGCAGGCCCACCTCGCGGCAGCACTTGCAGAAGCGGGCATAGGTGTTGATGTTGTAGTTGTAGATGCTGGCAGATGGGCACCTCCCATCACAGGACACTAGGTTCACCTGGAGATGGGAAGGCCAGTGAGGTGGCCTGCGTAGGAGCCACTCCCCAAAGGCCCCACCATCCCCATCTCTGGCCGCCCCCTCCCTCGGCCTTGCATGTCACGCACAGGGGTGTTGCTCCTGCATTCGTTCTTGCGGATGGTCATGCGGATGGTCACCTTTTTGCAGGAGCGCCCATCCTCTTTACCTGGGGGGACAGGGTGTTTGAACGGCTGTGGCTGAGCAGTGCTCCCGGGGGTAGTGGGATGGGCCAGACTGGGGCAGTTAGTGTCATGCTGAAGGGTCCCTTTACCAGCGTTAGTGCCCATGCATTACAGCCCCTCCCCATCAGAGGGAAAGCCTTTTAACTCAGTGCCCTGGAAGGAGGTGGAGGCAGGGAAGGCAGGGGAGATAAAGGAAGATGTCTGGGATGGCCTCAGGGGCTATGGCCTAGCGGAGAGGATTTGGGGACAGGGCAGGCTGCCGCCCCACCCCAGCCTCAACTTCTGTCTCTAACCCCTGTTGGTGACCTCACCCCTCTCTGAGCTTCAGCTTTTCTATTCAAGAGGGCTTCTAGCAGTACGATTCTGTAATTTCCTGGATGAGTAGAAACCCCAGGCCCTAGCACCATGCTTGCATATAGCAGGTTCACTTGGTTTCCCTATCTATCAAACAGGGTGGGGGAAATCACCCACCTCACACGGCGGTGACAGGGATGGAAATGGCTAAGTGTGCAGTTTCCTTTGCCTGGACCACACCTCCCAGAGACAACCAATCACAGGGCTCATTCAAACCCTCACCTGCTCAAGTATCTCCTCACTGAGGCCTATCCCGATCCCCTTTGTGAAAGGACAACTCCCTTCCTGTACCCAGTCCTCCCTGACTCTCCTCTTACCTATTTCTATTCAGGACACTGTCACCATCCAATCAGAGACACACTTTCAATTATGCTGTTGGAGTGTAAGCTTTAGGGCCTTCTTTTGCACGGCCCCATCTACAATTTGTTGTGAGTTCTTTCTTCATTCTATATAAATACTCACTTTCACGCCTCCATATGGATTTGTAAGTTTGTGTTATTTTTCTGAATGAAGCCTCCCAAATTCCATAAAGTTCATTCCCCTTAAAACTAGATGCACCCATCCTATTATGTATTTTACTTGTTATTTGTCTCTCCCACTAAAACGTCAGCTCCATGAGGCCTTGTTTATGCTGTGTCTACAGTGCCTAGAACAGGGCCTGGCATATTGGTGCTCAGCAAATGTTTGCCGGATACATGGGCTTGTTCTGTGACCCCAGGATGCCTGCTGGAAATGGGGGGCGGGGCAAGGGGGGATCCTTTCTTCTGGCCTTTGGGCATCACCACAATAGGTTTCCCACCATGCCGGCTGGCTGGAGGACTCCTGGCTACAGGTTAGTTCTCGTCCTCTCTGTCTGCTCCCAAGAGGCAGGAGAACTGAATGTTGTCCTGGCTATGGCCTTCTGGGCCCTGGACTGAGGCTGGCTGAGTGACCAGTGGGCGCAAAGCAGTGGCAGCAGTGGGCATTGATGGGCGCCAGATAAGCGGGCACCGCTGAAGCGTTCCCATGCAAGCCCAGGGGATGCAGCTTGCTACCCAGCATGCACTGTTGGCCGAAAGGCCTTCACCAGAGGCAGGGAGCAGGGGTGCCGCCTCCCCTCCCCCGCCCCCAGAGCTGGGGCCACCTAGCAGAAGGGGCATTGTTGGAAATAGCAACGCGGCTGCTGCCTCCAGTTCCATGGGCTTCCAAGAGGAGTACCTGGGTGGCAGTGGACACTAACCCGTGGAGGAGAGGCAGGGCTAACGGGGACCACGGGAAACAGGGTCCCCGGGGAACCTGGGGAAAGGGACACGGGTCTCAGGTCATACGGGAGCACACGGGGCATTCAGGGAACATGGGTTGTGTTCAGCCATTGAGGCACTGAGCCCAGCTTCACTGGAGTATGTGAGGTAGACATAAAAGGTCCCAAATTCTATAGCTCTCCAAAGAAGGGTCTAAAGCCTGGGGGGAGGGGAGGCATGTGGCAAAGGCACTAAGGCTGATGGGACATGCATGCATCTGTGGTTGAGGGCTGCAGGTTCTAGGGACAGGGTGTGAGAACAGTTGCACAGAGCCCTCACTCAGACTCATCAGGGACCCTGGGAGCCTGAATCTCACCCAGAAGGCCCCTCCAAGACAGGGCTCCTAGCTACAGGGAGAATTCATGTGGGGGGCATCTGGGCTGGGGGTCTTGGCAGACGCAGGAGGAGGCCGAGCAGCTGGTGAGCTACTGACCTCCTGGATGCAATATCCCAGTGTCCCCTGTCTCACAAGAAGCAAAGGACTTGTGTTGGATCAGGGACATGAGTGTGGCCTCTGTCCACCTGCATATCTATGCCAGTGCGTGAGCCTAGTGGCGGGGGTGTTAATCCCTTCATCTACTCACCCCTGAAGAGCCACCATCGGAGATGCCAGGCCAGGAACCTAGCTCTCTGAGCCGCAACCTGACACCTTGCCCTCCCAGAGCCCCTCTCCCCTGGGCCCCCACCATGCTCACTCACATGTCCTGCAGCATCCTTCCAAGGAAGGTACCACTGAGCCCCCAACCTGGAGGGAGAGGGGGGTAGGTGGGAGATCCCATCCAGGTCAAGAGCTAAGATCCCAGCAAGAGGCAAAGAGTATAAGACACTTGATTCCTTTCCTCCCATGATGCCCCAGGCAGGAGCTCCAGGCTGTGCTGGCCCTCAGGCCCTGGCAAGAGGGAGAAGGGACCCCTGGGCTGGTCATGGGAGAGCCACAGGGGCTGAACTGACTGGTTGGGACACTGGCACTCAGGCTGCCCGTGTTCCCCAGTGAGGCTGGAGGCTGGCTTAAGATGGTGCGGGGCTTCCCTATTTCCCGTGGCAGCTCCCCCACACAGAAGGTCAGGGAGGAAAGCATGCTGGGGTTGACCAACTTGGGTGAATGGCCTGACCTCTATCTCAGCCTTGGATAAGTTGCCCCTTTCCTGTCGGCTTAGTTTTCCCATCTCTAAAATGGAGGCAATTACCCCTTATAGTCCTCCTCCTCTATTATGAAATGGGTAAAACAACAGATGTGACAATTCTTTGTAACTAAGTGTGTGTGTGGGCGGGCGGGAGGGGGAGGTCTCAGTATATGTATGTGACTTTGTGAGCATGTGTGTGTGCACATGTGTGATTTCACATTTAAGTGTGTGTGTATGATTGGGTGTAAGTGTATTTGTTTTCTAGATAAGATCAGAAATCTTTAAATGTCCAGGATTAACTTCAGGAGCCTTAATAATTCAACAATAACCCAAACCCTCCAGGAAATCCTTTCCCTTGAGCTGTGCCCATAGTGATAGCTATCCATGCTGGTGCTGTGCCCATGACAGGACTGAGCTGTGTGTCTGCATGGCGTGCGTGTGCAAAAGTGTTGTGGTGTGTGACGCTGCATGGTATGTGGCATGCTGAGGTGTTCATGCCCCTGTGGAGTGTGTAGCCAACTGCCTGTGTTGGTGTGTCTTTGAGTGTGTCTAGAACATGTGACTGTATGTTTGCTTGCATCTGTGTGTGGCCATGTGATGTGTGAGCATGTGGCGTGTGATGTGGTCAGAGCAAAAATGCATGGAGAGATGTGGAGTCGAGGTGGCAGGGCAGGCACACAGGCTCCAGGGAAGCCCTCCTCCCACACCCCTGCACACAGAACCTCCTGCCTCCCTCCTCCTCATGAGTAAGACAGCTGATGCCCCGGCCTCAGGACATGCTGCAGCAGGAGGAGGCTGGCACTGACCTTGGCACACTCAGTCTCATTGAGCGGTGGGCAGCTGATGGGTGAGCGGACAAGCACAGCGCCCAGGGGAGTGTTGCTGCAGTGGTGGCGGGCGCATTCAGCAATCCAAGACGCCCCGGGCTGGAAGGCACAGAAGTGGATGATGGGGACTTGTGGCCAGATGGATGGCCTGAGTGAACCAATAAGACACAGCTCCAAAGATAGGTGTAGCCCAGGACCTGGCACTGCCCACGACATTGTCTGTACCCAGCCCTGGGCTCTGGTCCTAGGTGTCCCCTCCTGGGACCCCTTTCCAGGTGGGCAGTTAAGGGGCTGCATACCAAGAACAGGGAGGTGGTGCCATTGGGGAAAGTGAAGAGGCAGGACACATTCCTGCAGGAGCCGCAGCAGGCCGCCAGGTCACGCGGGTGCTCATACTCCTGGTTCTGCAGGACAGGGCAGGGCAGGATGGGCCTCAGCCACGTGCCGACTTCCACCCGCCTGCTTTTCCCAGCTGCTTGTCTGAGCCCAGAGAAAGGCCCCTTGTAGATGCTCAGGAGGGAGACTCTGAGGCTCCTCTGTCTCAGGCAGGAACCTCATCTTATGTCTCCCATAAGCCTCCTTTGCTGCAGTTCCTAGGTCCAGCCCCAGTGGTCAAAGAGCATTTGTACCCCTCTCAGAGACAGCACTGCTGGTAACTACGGCTGCCAGTTTTGGTTCCAATAGACCTCAATTTGAGTTCCAGTTCCTATGGGACTTTTGACAAATGACTGGACCGCCCTAAACCTCATTTTTCTCATCTGAAAAATGGGAACAATTCTAACCCCTTTGGTTCAACTAATATTTATCTCTTACTAAAAACCAGTCACTGTCCTAGGTATTAGGCATGTAGAAGTGCTCGACAAATGGTAACAACACAAACACACAAACCACAAGGATAGAGAATGTGCCTGGCATAGAAGGTACTTAATAAATGCATGTTCTCTCTGTCAAATCCTTACCCTTGGCAGGCCTTCTCTCTTGCTCTTCCCTTCCAGTCTCTCCCACCCAGCCCCGATCCCAGCACTCTCCATAGAGAGCTTGGGGCAAGCTCGAAGGGCCCCTCTGATTCCTGGAGCACCAAGACTCTGCCAGGCCAGGCCGCCTGATCCCACACAACACCATCCTGTGCTGCCCCCTACCGCTTCGCAGTGGACATCACACAACACAGAGGTGGAGTTGATCTGGTAGAAGCCGGTGAGAGGATCCAGCTGGTCGGTACAGTGGGAGGTGTGGCACACGCCATCTGCTGAGAGCTCCACCACGGTCTGGCCCGGCTGCATCACGCCCAGCTCTCGGCTCAGACATACAGGGGCCTTCACTGGATGGGTGTGCAGGGTGCCACAGTCACTGGGAGCCCAGCACCCAGGCCCGTCCCACCCTGGCTCTACCCACCCGGGCTCTCCCTCCTCACTCACCACACTCATATTTGGCGCAGCCACACACGTTCTCCATGCTATGCATGAACTCCTCATCCAGCTGGGACTTCTCCCACTAGGTGGGGCAGAGGCGGTCAGCACCCCAGGGTGGAGAGGCCCAGCCCTGTCCTTGAGAGCAGCCTGCCACCTGTACCTCTCTTTCTGTCAATTGCCTCCTTGCAGTGGGTGGAAAGGGGGCTGGCAGGCCTGGGGACCCTTGGCACCCTGTGAGCTCAGTTACCCTCCCACGGAGGGAGAAACACCCAGTGTGACTGCAAAGCTTCCCCGGTGAGGAGTGCTCCCCAGGGCCTCAAGCCTTTCCTGTCTTTCTCAGCACCCACTGGCCTCATCAGCCAGGGACGGCTGCGTGGCTACCAGCCCACAATCCCGCTTGGGATCATGGCTCATCCCACCTCCCTTCTGCCTTCACCAGTTGAAGGGAGAAGAGGATGCAACAGGAGACAAAATGAGAGGGAATGCATGCTGGGGTTGGAGGGAACATATAAAATTGAGAAAATTATGTAAAAGAACACCATAACTTTAAACATAACTTTACATTTCTCAGAATATTTTCACCTTCCCCGGTGGCTGTGCAGCCTGGTCGTTAAGGGCATGGGCCCTGGAGTCAGATTTCCTGGGTTCCAGTCCTGGCACTGTGATTTACTAGCTACATGACCTTAACCTTAGTGTCCTTGTTTGTGTAATTGAGATAATCATAGAATTAACCTCATTGCATTGTTGTGAGAATTAATGTGATAATATACATTAATAGGAAAAGTTCCTGGCATATAGTTAGCTCTCAATAAACATTAGCTCCCGTCATGAGTATCATCACCATCATCATCATCTTCACCATTTCCCCCATCACCACCATCATCATCATCACCAGCATCTCCATCATCATCATCACCATCACCATCATCCTCATCATCATTGTACATAATCCTCATCGCACCCTGAAGCGTGGTCATACCCACTTTACAAATAAAGGCATTGTGCCCAGAGAGCAGAGCTCGGGACGAGAGTGCTGACTTTTAATCCAAGGTTCTTTGTACTAGACTAAAGGAATCAGGTCTCTGGAGGAAGGGATGGGTAGAGAGGAAAGGAAAGGGAAGGCAGACTGGGGAAGGCGGACTGGGGAAGGCGGGGGGGAGCAGGGAAAGGGTCTCCATACCAGATGGCACCGGGGCACTGGGATTGTGTCACAGTCACACTCTGAAAAACAGGAGGGGCCAGGACCCACCTCACCAGAGATGTCCAGGTAGAAGTCCCTCTGGGTCTCTAGGCCCTTCACTTCAGGTTCAACCCCTTCTCCAGCCTGCCTACATTTCCCCATGGGGACTGCAACTCCCCTGGTTGGGTGGTGGGGCAATGATGGGTCCTAACACCAAGCTCCACACCGGATGTGGGGCGAGGATAAGTAGGCAGATGGACCAACCACAGGTGCCCTTAAGTCATCTGGCTTCATCCTTCCCAGAACCCATTCCAGAGCAAATGTGGGGCTTCTCTAGGCATGAATATGGCAAGGGTGGAACTTCTGACCATCTGCATTTCTCAAACTTATGTTCCAGCAAGCTCAGCCTTACTACTCCAAGCCATGAGCCATGGGCCGGTCCTGTTCTAAGCTGCAAGAGAGCTGACAGCTGAGGCACCATGAGCAAACTTAAGGGGTACGCCAGCTCTAGCTTCAGGGTGAGGAGCTTCAGGGCAGAGTGGCTGTGAAACAGTGTCTGATGCACTCACTCACGCAGCAAGTATTAGCTTTAAGGGCCTACTCTATGCCAAGATTTTCTCTGTGCTCTGGGGACAAAGCAACTAAAACAGACTACAACCCCTGCCCTCATAAAGTTTACACCGAGGCCTGGAGAAGGACATGCAAAATATCCAGATGCAAAACAGACTTTCTGAGCTCTTTTTAAAATAACATTTTTATAGAAAGGCCCCTGGTGTTCATTATTGACATGCCCACCTACTCCTCAAAGAAGATTTGAGGTAGATTTTAACAAAATCATGTTTACTGTCATATAGTTAAATAAAGACTTTTTAGATGGAAACCCCTTCTGGAACAGGGAGCTTGCTTTTTTCCTTCTTTTATCCTGGGGAGGAAAAGATGTAGGAATGCTCTGCACTCAGAGAGTAGATGTATTGGGGGAGGAAGGTGATTTTGGAGTTTTCCCTCTGGTGACACTGGAGAGACAGAATCTGAGCAAGTTGATAGTGGTGGGTCTGTTCCCTGACCCCCTGCCCTTCCCTCCTCACAGGGGCCCTGGGACTCCGCCTTCAGGAGGGGCCTCGCTGTCCAAGGACTTACCACAGGACTTGTAGGGGCAGCAGCGGTCTGGGCTCCACACCTCCACCAGGGCAGTGCCCATGCCACACTGCACTTGGGGGCAGCGGAAGCTCTCACATACTGCATGAGGGGGAGGCAGGAGACAGACACATCAGCCACAGACAACATGGAGCGTGACTCCCCAGAAATGCAACATGGGCTAAGAAGGGTGTACCCCCTAGTTCCTTTTTAGGAGAAGCTCCCCCCCCTCCATGTCCTGAGACACCCTTGCAGACTAGAGTCCAGAGGAGAAGTCTGGGCTCCCAGAGTCTCCCCATAGAATGACATCAGGAGACCCTAAACCTGCTCTGGGAGGCACTAGTGACATGGCAATGTCAGAACCTTAATTAACATCACTAAATTGGGCCTCCCCCAGATTCTGTGTCACCCTGAGAGCAGTGATCAGAGGGGAACCAGTGGCCAGGATAAGCTCCACCAACCCGGAACGGTTCCCTCTACAGAACAGTACAACCCTTCCCACCTGTGGAATCCACCCACTTGTAGCCCACCCCAAGCCGGCTGTGCTTCGGTCACTCTCTAGGGCTCACACTTCTCTTCTTCCTAGTCTTCAGGCAGGTCCCACTTAGCTTAGGGTTCCTTGGCCATTCTCACATATTGAGAGACCAAAGCAAGGAGTGAGGGAATCTCAAAGCACAATCCTTTGGTGGGGAGGGGAGGTGCAAGGGTCGGCGCTGAAGGTGAAAGACTGTAAGGCTTATTTATCAACTGGTGTTTCAAAAAATTATGAAGTGGAGGGGGAGACGGACATTTGTACAGTGTCAAAGTACTGGGTTACTTTCTGGTTGAAAGAGGAAAAATGTAAATGTCAGATGGAGGGATGTGACATGTCACCACCCTAGTCCAGGGCCAACGCTAACTTCAGTTATAGTGGCTCAGTCATACAGTGTGGTATGAACTACTATGAAGCTCATGTAGTGTCCAGTTAAAACAAATTTTTTTAATTGAAGCCACCAAGCCTTAGATCTAACTCCCAGTTTATAGGAAGCACAGAGGCTAAAGGAGCAAGATCGACAGTTCCCAGAGGAAACAACTAGGTTAATCCAGAAGGTGGAATTTTCTGCAAGACCACAGCCCAGGTGCTCCAATTTAGTGTCCCGCAGAAAAAGGGACCTGTGCTAGATTAAAAGGCATTTAAGAGACACAATGTAAATGTATGGTCCTGGATTGGGTCCTGGGTTGGACAAGCTAGGAGAATCATGGACTGGGTCTGATATAATTTGAAAATTTATTAACATGGAAAGATAAAGATGACAGCTGGTTAAAAAAGGAACATGTACAGGATGACCTCATTTTGGTAAAACACACATACATGAAGTCATAGAAAGGATAAGCACTGAAGTGTTGACAGTAGACTATCTAGGAGGTAGGAAGATAGCATTTTCATTTTCTTGTATTTACTTGGATTTTGTACTTTCTCCAAGGCATATATAGTGCTTTTGTAATAAAAGTATAACGAAGACTGGGACAAAGTAATAATGTCATCGGTCTTGGGGTGAGGACTTTATGAAGGGGCCCAGTGGCACATAAAGGTCCCTGGAGCCCCTCCCAGCCATGGCCCCAGGTCCAGCCAGGACTCACCACACTGGTACAGAGGGCAGCAGAGCTCCGTGGTGTTCTTGTCCACGGTCAGGGCCTCCCCTTCCTGACACTCGGGGATAGGATCTGGACAGTCGCCACAGGCTGAGAGGGGAGAGGGACCAGGGCTGTCACAGGCAGTCCCCCACATGGGGGGCTTGGTAGAGAACAGGTTGCTGGGTGGGGACACCTCAAACACCCAGCTGTGACAGGAGCTAGACTAACAGCAGTGTTTCATGGTCTCGTGTGACCTGTCCTGGGGTCAGAACCTGGAAGTTCTCCCTCTTGTCTACTTAAAGTCTGACACTGAATGAGCAACGATTTCCTCAGGCTCAGTCATGTATGGGGTGAAGTGGGGATTGGTTTCCTCTTCGTCCTGTACTTCTCTCTGGACAGGGAACTCACCCCACCTGAAGACCCCTACCATTTGCTCCTAGTTGCCCAAGGAAGCAGGGGTGAGGGAGGGAGTGGCTGCGGTCTAGGTATGCACACTGACACCTGATGGCACGCCCACCCACCGCAGAAGTAGACGGTGCAGCACGACTCCCCCAGGCGGCCAGCGATCAGGATCTGGTCCTGGCGGCAGCTGGGGACCACCACTGCCTCACACTGGTCTGGGTCACACTCTGAGGACAAGACAGCATTTAGGAGCTGGGAGCAGACCCCGCCTGGCCACACTGGGGCCCCCACCCTGGCTCTGCCCTAATCTCCAGCGAGGCCCCAGGCCCCAGAGCTGTCCTTGCTCCCTTATCCTGGCTGCAAGGCAACCCCCCTTCCCCAGGCGATCAATGTCCCCCTCTCCCTGCACAGGGCCTCTCACCACAGCTGTAGCTGGGGCAGCAGGAGTCCTCCTGGAAGTGGGTGAGGAGTCGGTGGCCGGGGCGGCAGGTCGGGGCGAGGCCCTCACACAGAGAATGGTTACACACTGGCCCAGGGGCCACAGGGCCTGTCACCTGGAGGCTGGGATGTCCCTCAGCCTCCAGCACTGCCCAGCCCCTGGACACCTGGTCCCCATTATGCACCCCAGCCCCCAGGGCCCATGTTCCTGGGAGGGGCCTCTGAGAGTCGCACAGAAAGTCCAGGACTGAGACAGAAGAGCAATAAGAGTTCATGTTCATTATGATGGGCTGTGTCCCTGCTGCTGTTCTAGATCAGTTTTAACTTCTGTGATTCTCCCACCAGTCCGGAAGGTGGGTACTGTATCAGCCTCGTGCTACCAGAGAATTGACGAAGGCACAGAGGGTGCTAAGTGATCTGCTGATGTCACAAGACTGCAAGGTGGTGAAGGAAGAGACCACCAGGCTGGTGGTTTCCGAGCCCAGCGCCTTTAAGCCCTGCTCACACTGACCCCTAAGGCATGGCTCCTGCCCCCCAGGTGTGGTTCTCCACCCTCCTCAGCACATCCCCCACAAGACACTTGCATTTTCCCAGGCCTTGTCCTATCCATTAAAGTCAGAGCAGAACCTTTTAACCATCTAACAGTGAAGATCCAGGGAAGTAAACGGTGGGACTCACCACATGCAGCCCCCAGGCAGCAGGGATCCTCGGTGGGCAGGAGGAGGACCACCTCCCCAAAGCGTGGGCAGCTCTCAGGGCGGGTGACTGGGCAGTCCAGCTCCACTGGGACGATGGTGTCCTGAGCTTGGCACTGGTGCTGGCAGCATCCGCTGAGGGAGCTATTCCAGGTCTCCCCCAGGGCCCGTGGCACCCCTGTGCTGTCAGTGCAGGCTGCAGTGGGAGGCACAGGGGACTGAGGCGTGGGGGACATGGAGGGGCATGGGGGACTTAGGAGTGTGGGGAGACCCAGACTGTCCCAGGCTAGGCCCTCCCTGAGGCATTAACCACCCCAAAGCAGCCCTGGAGGGATGCAGATAGGCCTCAGCCATTGGGCAGGAGGAAGGTGAAGGAAATCCTAGGGTGAGGCCAGCTTTGGAGGGCCCCACCCTGAAAGGAAAGGAACCTACCGCACTTCTCCTCAGGAATGCAGAGTGCCGAGTGGCGCCGGTGCAAGATGGTACCCTCAGAGCAGACGCAGCCCTCTCCCAGCACCTGGCACTGCTCCGGGTCCAGCGGGCCCAGCAGCCCATCCTGGCATGTCTCGGGGGGCTCGCAGGCTGCCACACATGCCTGATAGGTGGAGTCGCTGGAGCACAGGAAGGCTGCAGGGGCACAGTGGACACCATGCTCAGCTCAGACCCCAAGCAGGTAAGGAGAAGGCTCAGAGCATCCTCCATGCCTCAGCACACAGTGTAAAGGGGCTTGGTGTCATTGCCTCTTTCCTCTAGATCAGGAGTCAACAAATAAAGTTTTATTGAAACACAGCCACATCTATGCATTTACCTATTGAATCTGGCTGTTTGTGTGCTGCAAGGGCAGAGTTGAGTAGTTGTGATAGAGGTCATACAGCCCAAATATTTACTATCTGGCCCTGCATAGAAAACATTTGCCAACCACTTGCTGTAGATCAGTGTTTTCAAACTTTCTTGACTGTAAAAGCTAGATTTTCACATCATGGCCCAATACACTCGTACACGTAGAACAGTGGTCTTCGAACCTGATTGCAAAAGAATCCCTTGGGGGCTTTTGAAGTGCCATTAACAGGACCCCACAACAGACCAATAGAATCGGAACCTGTGATCGTGGGCCTCAAGTATCAGTACTTTTTGAAATTCGCTGGGTGATTTCAAAGGGTAGTTTGAATTGAGAATCACTGATTTATTGAAACAAAAAACGTTTTCATGAAATAATGCTTCACCTTTCCAGGTGCAGCACATGCTAGCATTTTCTATTCTATTGCATTTTTAAAATGCTGGTGCTGACCCCCAAATTTGATCTCATACCCACTGAGCTGGGATCCAGTTTGAAAAGCACTACTCTAGATGGTTTTGCCCTTTCATCTTTTATCTGTCATGGGATAGATGTGGCCTTCCTATGAGTTGTTTCCAGCCTTTCGGGATGTGTTCAAACTATACTTTAGGCTGGTCTGCCCGTGCTAACCCCACTAAGTCAAAGCTAATAGAGGTGGGACGAGGTGGATCTCACTTCCATCTTTAGTGAAGGAGGAGAGAGACCGAAAGAAGGGAAAGATGACCAACTACGAAGAGAAAAGTACTAATATTTGCTGAACCGTAACTATGTGAGGGCATGTGTGAGTGAGGAGGCACACTCTGGACACCGTGTCTCATGTCATCTTCAAAACAATCCTAGAGGGCACTGTGGTTCCTGTCCCCATTTTTCAGGTGAAGCGAGGAGACTCGAAGAAATTAAATTATACATAAATGAGATTTACTTGACCTATTAATGTAAATGACAATAAAAATAAATGTGTTAATTTATTAAAACATGTATCTATTTCTTTATAAAGTATTTATTAATTCATATGAATGAATGAATGAATGAATGAATGAAGCCTGGGAAAGCCTGGATGTGGACACAGGCCTATAAGCCTTTTCCCACTCTAACAGGGTGTGGGAGCAACAGAAGGAATGAAGGAGTCCTCTCTGGCCCCCACCCTACTCACGGCAGTAGTCGGAACGCCGCCACTCGATACACACGTGGAACTTGTGGCACATCGCCACGTACACAGTCAGTGCCACGCAGGGCTGCTGCACGTACTTGGTGTCCCGGATCCACAGCTCACAGAACGACTCTGGTGCGACCTGGGCACATGCATCGGGCAGTGCTGCCTCCCCGATTCTCCACTCCCCGGGACCAGTTCCCCCCAGCCCTGCCCAGGGGCAACAATGAGCCTCTGCAGACTCCCCATCCGGTCCCAACCTCAACACCCACATCTACACCTCCCTGCCCTGGCCATTGGCCAGTGGCCCCTCTGCAGGTAGGTGTTGCCATCCCCAGCCTGGGAGGCTCCCCCCATGCCGAACCCAGTTGGCACATACAAAGTGGTGGCAGGCGCTGAAGGTGCGGTTGTACACCATGCGAAGACAAGGGGAGCAGTCAGCTGTGGCACAGCTGTCTGGGCGGAATCGGGTCTGGCCCACCGAGGTCAGAGAGCTGGGCACCTGCCAGCTGTCCAGAAAGGGAGCAGGGTCCTCATCTTCACCCACCACAGAACCATCCTCCAGGGTGAGGTCATTGGCTGCATCCCCATCACAGATACCTGAAAGGGGCAGAATTATCCCATTAACCTCCACCACTCCCAGGTCCCCAGATGTCACTGCATATTCCTCACAACAATTCTTTCAGGCTGGTATTACTATCACCTGTATTTTATAGATGAAGAAAATGAGGCACAAAGAAGCTAAGAATGACATTATATCAGAATTAAAAGTTACTCCCAAAAAAATCTGTTTTAACAGAGATTGCTAGCTAATTACCATACCTGTTTCCTCTTCATCCTGTGCAATCTGCTAGCTTATTTTTCCCAAGCTCCCTTGCAGTTGGGTGAGGCCATGTGACTGAGTCCCAGCCAATGGAACATGAGTGAAGGTGATGGGCACCACTTCCAGGCCTGGTCCATAAACACTTACCAACTCTTTTCCCTTCTGTCGAGTTGGAAGCGTGTGCTGAAAATGGCAGAGCCACAAGATGGACAGAATCTCCATTTGGGAATTTATGTGTGCAAGAAATAAATTTCTGTCGTGCTAAGGCACTGAGCTGGGGGTGGGCTGAAGTTTATTGGTCACAGCTTCTAACATGACCTTGACTTCCAGCTTCATGTCTCATAGTCTAGGTGCCAGGCACACACTTCCCTGCCCTTGACTTTCCTGATGCTGCTCCCTCTGCCTGAAACACTTTCTCAGAAGTCCTTCCTTCAAGGGCCTCTCAGATGCACCATCCATGACCTTCCTAATTCTGTGTAACAGGCTTTGGTCTTCCTCTCTGAGTGCAGAGACTCATTTTCCTTCAGATTCTCATGCTCAGTGTTCCCCACATTGCCTTGTAGAATGGCCAGGATACCAAGCATTCATTTGGATAAAATAGGCATAAATTAGCTGACTTCTGCTCTGACGCCTCCAGCCACCAGTTTTGTGACTATACAGCCTGATGTGACACAAAACCCTCAGATTTTATCAATGGTCCCAGCGGTCACATTTTTGCTCTTGGCATTGAGTCACCAAAGGGTGTCACAAAGGTATCCTGGGGGAGGCGGGGGTGCCTGGCCCGCCAGATTACTGCTGATGGCAGCATTCTCTGCCAGATATAAACAGTAGAAGAAAGAAATGGTGAGAAAAGGATGGTGGTGATGGTGGTGGAGGAAGTGGTGTGAGTGTATGTAAGGAGAGATAGGTGTTTGTGTCAGTAAGAATGGAAGCTTCATAAAACAGGGATTTTGTCTTTTTTGCCTCCTGTTCTGTCCCCAGTGACTGGTACCTGGAAAACATGTGTTCTGCAAATGAAAGATGAACATGAAGCAGACTTACCCATGTTAGTGCAAGGGTAGAGGGCATTTTGAGTACAGGCGCATTGTGTAAATGAACAAAATGAGTATAGACCTCATACAGATGGAGAGCATGCAAGTATGTGTTTGTGTACGTATTCCTATGTCATCCATCATCATAGTCTATCATGGCAGCCTGTCATGCAGTATCCTGTGGGGGCCACGTCCTTCTGCCCTTGCAAGGAGCAGCAGTCCACACTCAGATTCCTCCTGTACCCCTTTTTCTCATCAAAATACATCCAGTCCCTCTGTGATCATGCTGTGGTCTGAAGAACACTAGTTCTATGTGTTGTGGCAGCTCTGCTGTGTGACCTTAAGCAAGCCACTTTCCTCTCTGAGCTCCCTTTCTTCTTTAGTCCAATGGCCATCTCTCAGGGTTATTGTGTGGATGACCTGGAATAAGTTGAGATCAGAGTGTGGAAGTGCTTCGTGAAATGCCCAGGCATATGCAGATGGGAAGGATTATCTGGTATTAGGGAGCTATCAGGGAAGCTGACAGACAGTTCCGGCTGAAGTGACAACTGGTGGAAGCTAGAGCCCTGCGCCATCTCCCTGGTGGCAGCTTCAGCCCCAGAACACGAGACATTAGGTCTCTCTGCCCTGGCAGCTCCACTGGTCCCACCTCTGGCACTCTGTCCCAGCTTTTCCTGGTCTAGGGGCACCTGTGTCTGGGAGCAGAGGTGGGCCCACGAAGCATCCCCCATCCCCTAACTGGGTTCTGCCTCACCACACAGGCCCCGGCCCTGGGCCTCGCTGGCTTTGTTGGCCTCCAGGATCATGAGTCCTGAGCTGTGGAGCCACTGGATCTGGATGTGTGACGGCGTCCGGATCACATACATGTGGCCCGTGTCCTCAATTCTGAACCCATATCTGCTCATGGGGGGCCACACAGGCTGGGAATCCACGGTCACCTTGTGGGAAAGGGGTGTTTAATGTGAATACAGCTTGTCCATCCATCCATCCATCCATTTGTCCAACTAAGAGTTATTAAGCACCTATTACACGCCAGGCTCTGTTTCAGGCTCAGACAGCCAAGACACAACACAGCCCAAAGGTGGCAAGAAAGTCCTGAAAACATTTTTTATGAACACAAAATAATGAAACAAAAAAAAAAAATACAATGGCTGGAGGCAGGCTGAATCTCTATGTCCAAATTAACACAAATTCTGAGCCCTTCTAATCATTCCATTCTTTTCCTGATTCTGCTCAGATAATTTCTTCTGGGAGACCTTCCCTAAATCCCCAGCCTCTGGGTTGGGCACTCCTTCTCTGGGGTCTCCCCATCTTTGTGCTGAATGTGAAGACAGAATCCCTCAGAACAAAAGTGCAGAAGTGAGGTATTTTAGCCACAGTCATTTAAGGCCACTGTCTTTGGCCATGCTGAATACCTTCCCCTCTATCACCATTCTAACTTCCTTCCCATCACCATTCTAAGCTCCTTCTCCTGGTACACGTCCTTGCTTGATATTAGGGTGGTTACAAGTATTCTAATTAAAATAACTTCCAAATATAACTAATTTGGCATTATTTGTCTTTACGAGGGCCCTTCCCACTCCTGCCCCCAGGAATAAGCCTCAAGGCCCCTCCACCCCTGGACGCCCTGCCCTGCCTGAGGGCTGGCTCTTTGAGGCACTCACCTTCCGGTTGAAGCGGTCAATGATGACCTGGCGAGTCAAGTGCGTCACATTCAGCAATACCACACAGAACGGGGGCCAGTTCAGGTGCCCCTGCAGAGAGAGTCCAGCTCTCATCAGTCCTGCCTACTCATCCTGGTGACCAAATGTGACCACACTCTTCCCACCCTGTCCCTGCCCCCCACCTCCCAACAGCACGCCAGGAGCACCTATCAGGCTGTGCAGGTGATGCAATACCATGAAACACTTTTGGCTACACCTGACTTCATGCAAGTCCAGCCACAAAACCAACAAAAACAAAACAAAACAAAAACTGGCTCATGGCAACACCCTAGTAGGCGCTTCCCTGTAGTTGGCACCTTGATCAGGCCACATTTTGCAGTGACATCTCAGCTTCTCTTCACCTCAGTGCCATCTCAGTGCCATAGGCAGCTGGGACAAGCCGGGGATGGCGTGGGCCCCAGGAAAGGCCAGGGGAATGGCCCCTTTCCCCAGGTGCCCAGTCCAGGAGACCCCTGAGAGACAGAGGGAGTTTCCACATCTGTCCTCACCTCCAACACTCCTCAAAACTGCTCAATCTCCCCTCCAAACCTAGTCAAATCCCTAAGTGCTGGCAGGAAGGGAAGCAGTCACCAGGTTGGCACTTTTGCAGTCGAGGACATGGACGGTGACCATTTCATCAGGGCTCTGGCTGAGGATGTAGATGGCCTCCTTGAACAGGGCTGCATGGCTCCCATCAAAGGTCACAAAGCTCAGATCGGGGAAGATTGAGCATCGGCCTGGGGGTGGGGAGGGGCAGAGGACACGCAGAGTAAACAGATGCCTCCGAGGTGAATGCTGCTTAGATTCACAGGGCAGGTGCCCGGGCCTCTTCCTGGGTGACTCAGAGGCCCTGGGGGCTGGAGGGTCACATGGAGTAGGCATCATACAGAGATCAGAGGTCGCAAGTGTAGGAACTCTGCCAGGTCAGGGGTCACACTGAGACAGGAGGTCTAATGGGAGGGTTACCCTGAGGCTGCGGAGCACCCACGTCAGGGGCAGAGGTCACACTGGGGCAGGGGTCCGAGAAGGACATCAGAGGCTCCCGTGGACCCCAGGACTCACAGGCACACTCCCAGAAGGGGCAGCAGCGGTCCCCACCCACTCTCACTGCAAGGCCCAGGACCCCACAGCGAAGGGGCGTGACGTCCTGGGGACAATTCTGGGACTGGTTCACACGGATCAGCTGGCCCTCCAGGCAGATGTGGCGGACGCAGTCCTCCTCTGCAATTGGCTGGGGCACAGGATGGGGGAGCAGCATGAGAGCCTGCCCTGGGGCTACAGCCACTTACTCCTGCTCCACCCACCTCACTGGGAGGGCACAAGATCCTTTGGGAGGCATACTTTAGCAAAAGGGGACCCTGGGGTAAAATTATGAGGGGATGGCACCCTCACTTTGCCACCACCCAACATGCCATCGGGGCCTGGGGCTGGGCTGAGTGGGATTGAGGGTCAGGGGGCTGACTTCTCGAGACCTCTGCATATCTGCCTGGCCTGTGCTGAGAGCCCCAGGTACACAGACACTCAGACTCACAGAAACCCAAACTCCCCCCCCACACACACACACACATGTGCGCACACACACACACGCGCACGCACACACTCACAAATGCACAGACACACATGATCTCTTAACATCATGCATCACACACACAGAGATATCTGCGTGCTCACATGTGAACACAAACATGTGCACACCCAGTCCCATGCAGGTACCCAGATACAAACATGTACACACTGGCACACCCACGTTGTCACACACTTGTTATCACACTAAGCCATCCAATCAGCCCCTGGGGCCCTAATGGTATGGTATCAGGGGGCTACAGGAGCCTGGGGAATTTCTCAGGCTCCAGAGGCTTGGGGCAGGGGTAAGGACAGTGACTAAACTCCATCTTGTCGCCTGACAACTGGTTAAAAAGCTGCACCAGCCCTTGTCCCTTGCCTAGGAACGTGTGTGGTGGTATCCAGGCACAGTGGCACAGGGAGAGGGAAAGCATGGAGGGTCTACATACAGGAGGCCAGAACTCTGGCAAGTCACTCACAACACACAGGGCAGATGCATTGGCTTCAGCGGTGGTTGCCAAGGCCTCGGCTGAAGGCTGTGAGATGCTTGGGACTGCGGCCGAGCGCCCAGACTGCACGGTGGTGGCCTCTCTCACAGGCTCTGCTGGGGGCTGAGGTCCTGCTGAGGTTCCATGGGCCTCGGCCAACTGAGGGAGCAGCACCAGTGAACTCTCTCGGGAGGCAGTCCTGGCAGAGACAGGGCTCAGGGGATAGGATGTGGGCACTGGTGGCACTGTGCCGACCCAGGGGCTCTCGGCCTTAGTCACCAAGGTAGCGAGAGTATGGGTCACAGCAGGCGTGAGCTCTGTGGGCCTCCCCTGGGCAGAGCCCTGTAACAAGGGGGGCAGAGACACTTGCTTGGACAGGATGGCCATCTTCTCTGTAGTGCTCTTTCGTGGGGCAACGGATACTGTGGAGGCCACCCCCTCAGCCACGGCCACAACTCCAGAGGTTGGCAATGTGGTTCCCAGAAGCAGGCTTGGAGCTGTGCCGGTTGCCTGAGGGCCTGTGTGACTGGGAGGGTGCACCTGGGCCACGACAGCTGGGGTGAGAGGCAGGGCTGGACGGAGTGTCTGAGCAGATGCAGTCATGGCCGTGGCAAGAGATGTGGCCTGTTGCTGGAGTGGAGGGGTGATGACAGAGCCCTTGGGGCCAGGCGTGGCCACTGGGGCAGACGTGCCCACTTTGGCCAGAGGCAGGCTGGTGTCAGGAGGCAGACCAGAGAGGAGCTGTGATGGCCGAGTTGACTCCAGAGACATGAAGGGCGTGGCCGCCAGCCCGCGAGCAACTGTGGACAAGCTGGTGGTAGCTGGAGACCTGGCAGCTGTGGTGGTGTGCCCGGTGGGGTGGGGCATGGCAGTGGGGAGCGGGCCAGGAAGTGGAGAAGGAGGCAGGCTCGTGGGCCGGCTGGGCCCAGGCTGGACCTTCTCTGTGGATGGCACCATCTCCATGCCCTCTGTCACCATGGGACTGACAGGAACCTGCTCTACTGCTGTTCTAGCCTCAGTTGTGGGGCTGCTTGGGCTGGACATGCCATGAGCCTGTATGGGTTCAGGGATCCCTGTCCTGGTCGTGACCTTCGTCGTTATTGCAGGTGTCATCAAAGCCTCATGGGATTCGGAGGAAGCGGGGAGCCTGGAGGTCACTGCAGGAGAAGCCTCAGGCCTGGAGGGGGCGCTTGCAGGCGATTCCAGGCCTGGGGAGGCCTGTAAGGGTGTTGTCTTAACAGGCACGGAGTCAGGGCCTGGCACTGTCACCGCTTTGGTCATGAGTGGGAAGCGAGGTACCGGGGGTGACTGGGAGGAGACTGTGATGTTGGGACTTCCTGCAAAGGTCACCGGTACCCTGGTCGTCTGCATGGCACCCAACCCCATGCCAGGCATAGGCACCTGCTGTGAAAGAGGGCGAGACGAGGACCCTGGTGTCTGGGGGGTAGTCAGTTGGCTGGCAGCCACTCCCTTGCTGGCCGGGGTCTGTGTGGGGTACTCAGGGAGGTTAGATGTAGTGACCCCCAGCGGCTGCTGCAGTGTGGCCTGGGAGGGGCCTGGAGGCAGCGTTGGCCCCTCAGTGGCTGCCATGGATGGGTTCAGGGACGTGGTGAGTGGGAAGGCTGGGGTGAGTGCTGGCCTGTAGGAGGGAACCCCAGGAGTGTCCTGTGGAAACTGTAGCTCCTGGTCACTGGGGGTGGGCAGCACTTGACTGGGAGGCAGGGTCTCATTGCCAAGGGCCTCTGTAGGAACCAAAACCGCTGGCTCCACACCTGGCAGGTGAGAGAAGAGGCTCAGATGACAGGCTAACTACTGCCCCAGGGCTCACCACTGGGCAGGGCTGTGAGGCTTCCAGACCGGCACCCCAGTCAAGCCTGACCGACCCACAGCCTCTGTCACACAGATGACTCAGAGAAGTCAAAGGGTCTGGACCCGGCCCCATATTTCAAACCCTGAGCCCAGAGCCCAGGAACCTCAGGTCTAAGTCTGGTTGCACCAAATTCTCACCATGTGACCCCAAGCCAGTCCCTTCCCTACTCGGCCTCAGTTTTCATCTCTGTAAAACAGGGAGAATGGACTGGATGAGGTCTCCTACTCTATGGTATTCTCCTTCGGGAGGTCCCTATGCTGACCTTGCCTCTCCAGGGACCTGGGGGCTCTGGGCATAACAGGTCCATGAGACCCAGGGGATTTACAGCAAATCTGAGGGAGGGATGAGAAAGCCAGGCCACTCACAGTCTTCCAAGTAGACACATCTCTGTGTGACTTCATCCAGGACCTTGGGGGTGGGGCATGCAGGCACGCAGCCTTCTACCCTGAGGACAGAGCGGCGAGCAAGTTAGTAATCTGGAATATGGGGAGGGTCTCCTCTATTCACTTGGATTGAGCATAGGCCTCATCCTTTTTTTATGACACCTGTCTGTGTGTTGTTATTAGGTACATGCTCACATGAGCCTCCGTAAGCTGTCACAAGTGTACAGGAGCACACATACCCAAACATGCATGCCGCAACTCCTGCCCTCAGACCGAGAGGCAAACACACAAAAATAAGGTCCGGCTGTGCACACACCGTGCACACACTTGCACATGCTCGCATGTGCTTCCACTTAGGCACATTCTCACACACCCCCTACACACTTGCAGGACTCAAAAATATTCACACAGACGTATATATACACCCACACAGACTGCTATGAACATCAGTGTGTACACACTCATGCACACAGCTGCACCAACACCCCAATGCATGCAGCAGCTCATACACATGTACATATGTACAGCTGTACAAGCCCAGGCACACCTGTATACACACACTAACAGACACAGGGCTCGGCTATATGTACATCGTGTACAAACTGATACTCACATATGCCCATAGGAGGCATGTTCACCCTGGTACACACCCCCCCATACACACAGCACACAAAACATGCATATACAAGTATATGTGAGTACACACACGCCCAGTACACACTCACACTTCTGCCTACAGACTACATACGAGCCCATTCCCACACATGTATGCTCAAATATGCTAATGCTCACACCTTGACCACTTGACTCCATGCCATCTCACCTGGGCACATCCTGGCAGCTGGCTGCCTGTGGATCCCGGCAGGTTTGGAAGCAGGGGCTGGCACAGGCATCATAGCGCCACTCGCAGATGGGGTAGGCAGTCCCCGATGACTTGGCATCTGGAAAGGCGACCCACCCCAGAGTTCCAAGACTAAGTGAGCCTGGGCACCAGCCCCAGGCCACGTGCCACAGCACAGAGGATGTCCAGCTCAGCCCATGCCCACCCAGCCCCATGGAAGAGACAAATGGACTCATGCAGGAAAAGTGAAGACAAAGATAATAAAAGCCAACCTCAGGGGACGCTGCATCTTTGAGAGTTGGTGTCGGTGCTTGGAGGATCCTTGGGATGGGGCTCAGGGAACTTGGTGTAGGGGCTGAGGATGGGGGTGCTATGGAGTGGGCAGTTGGAGTTGGGCTTTGAGAGGTGGCCAAAGAGGAGGCTGGGGCTTCTGATCTCTCCATAAGCTGCTTGTCGCCCTGCCTCTCTGGGACCTTGGTGGTCAGGCTTGCCCAGAACCCCAGGACACAGTTCCTTCCTCTTTGCCCTGCCTCTGGCTGGGCCACTGCAGACCTCCATGGAGGCAAGAGGTTTTCCCTTGAGGGGTAGGGGAGACGTTAGGGGAATCCCTTCCCCTCTCAGCCCAAGACCCTGTGGGGCATCTGGCCCCAGACAGGGTAGAGGGCTGTTCTTCACAAGCCCTACCCTCTCTGTTCCCCGGGGGCCTCCCTGAAGCAGCCTCCTTGTAAACCAGTCTCGGGACCCGGAGGGTACAGTTTTTCTGAGCAATGTGCCTGTTGCCCTGAGTAACTTGGGCTACTGCTACTAATAACAACAGCTAACTCTTAAATAGCACCAAGCACGACACTCAACATTTCATAAGCATTTACTCATTAATCCTCTCAAGGACCTTATGAAGTAGCATCATTATTATTCCCATTTTATGGATGAAGACACTGAGGTACAGCAGATGCTGGGAAAATGAAACTCTCCCAGAGGAGAGGTCCTCAGAAAAGGCCCTGTGGCCAGTGCCTTGATAAGTGAGGGATCCTCATGGAAAGTCGATAGCCTGTGGGGAGCCTTGAGGCAGACAAGAACCCAGACCTCTCTGGCACAAGTGACGGGGTCTCTGAAACCGTGTCCTGAGCAGGGAGGCGTGGACAGGACCCACAGTGGGCTGGAGGGGGCAGCCCCACCCCAGCAACCCCTTCCTGACTTCCTAGTCCCCACACTGCTGCCGACTGTGAAGAATCCTGCTTTTCCAAGATCCTTGAGACCAGAACCGAGAACTTACGTTTGGGGAGAACCGTCTATGAGCCAGGCCCAGAGCAAAGCCCATGAGAGGCACCGATCCTCACAATAACCTTCGGAGGCAAAATCCCCATTGTTCAGGCAAAGAAAGACTCAGGGGAACAGGGGTTCTCCTCCAAGTGCCAAGGACCGGGGTCAGGATTCAAACCAAGGCTGCCTGGCTTCAGAGCCTGGGCACATTCCACTCTGCCTCGGTGTCTTCCAGAAAGGGACACAGTCCTGCCATCATAGCCAGTGATGAACCTGTTCATTGGCGGACTACATAGATGACCCCTGAATGTAGGAATGAGCTGGCCCAGCCCTGATTTGTGTGTGTGTGGTGGTGGTGGTGGTGGTGGGGGTGATAAATGAAAAGCCTGGCTGGAGATTCTTTTACATACATGTGAATCCATTCATACAGCACGAGGTGCCCTCACAGGCACGAACATACATGTGCACATGTAGGACGGAAAGGCCAGCCTGGGGCAGCAAAGAAACGGTGATCGCTTCCTCCAGGGTTTAGGCAGAGAACAAACAGTTTTGGGGTAGACACACCAGGCAGCAGGATGGCAAAGCCCTGGGACCCTTTCCAGCCTCAGCTGGAAAGGACGTGGTGTTGCCCCATCACTGCCCAGGGTCCTGAGCCTCCATGGGGGAGAGGGGGAAGCTATTGGTTCACAGGGAAGGTATGTGACCCATCAGCAAGAAACCTGAGCTAGCGGGCTACGCAAGCAGTGGCCACGATCACTTTCCCTTCATTTCCGCAAAGGCCACCCTATTTTTAGACTGTGTAATTGGCCTGTGGGAGTAAACAAGACCCAGGAGGCTGCCTGGGCCCCAAGCCATACTGTCCATAGCTCCCTCAGCCCCCAAACATGGAGGCCAGGCCACCTTCCATCTCAGGGGTGGCACCCCTGTGCCTTCCTGTGCCCAGAGAGTGATGACTCTGCCTCTTGGAGGCAATTGGAAGGGTGAGTGGGGAGACGGAAGGAAGGCCAGCTGAGGGAGGGGCTGCGGGGCCAAGGGTGGCGGCAGGGTAGACACCTACCCAGAAGGCGGAAGAGCGTGCCCCAGCGGAACATCTCCGTGTGTTCGTATGGCCGCAGGGCCAGCATGGGGCCCGACACATAAAGGAAGGACCCAGGCTCTGCCAGGGACTCCAGGGCCACCAGGCCTGTCCGCCATGTCCCCTGATGCAGCACAAAGGAGGCCTGGCGGTGGAAGGCATCGCTGCCCTGCCACTTGGCCAGCTCCAGAGACCCATTGGCTGTGATGTGGAGGAAGAAGTTGGGTCTGTCCGCTGCCTCCAGGGATACGACATCTGGGTCTGCAAAGAGCCACATGGGTAAGGTCAGTGCAGAGAGGGGTGCAGACACCTGGCGACACAGGAGGGCAACACACTCTGTGGATGAGCTGGGCCCCGCTCCTCCACACCTGCCCCCTTCCCCTCGGCCCACCTAGTTCTGCCTGCGGGCCGCCCCTCGGTGCACACCTCTGTGGCAAGGTGGAGGGTTAGAACAGCCACCACCTGCCAAACCTTGAAGAGGTAACTGAACTCCCTCCCTCCCTCTCTTCCTGCCTTCCACAAACATTTTTTTTTTTTTAGCTGAACCATCCTGCCACCTGTTGGCAGCTCAGCGGCAGCTGGGGCCGGGCATCGAACTGCTGTTGCTCAGAGCTCACACTCTTGAGCGAGCTCTTAACCAACTGAGCCACTCGGCCGGCCCCCCACAAACATTTTTTGAAGACCCGCTGTGTGCCAGATGGAATCCCAGATGTCAGGGATGCAGCATGGGGCAGGGCAGACAGAAACAGCCACGCTGGTGGAGCTCATGTTCCATTGGTCGGCATGGACAAGCTGCGCCTGGTGATTTGCTAGGTTTCATGACCCCAGCTTGGTCCTGCTCCTCACAGAATCCCACCGCGTCAGAGCTGGTGGACCTGGGGGACACTGAGCCCAACCCACAGATGGGAAAACAGTGTCTCAGGGAAGGGAAGAGGTTTGCCCAGAGCCCCAGAGCCTGTCTCTCCTGACCTTTCTCCTATACCCACAAGGGCGCACTTGTAGAGTAGGGATCACTGCTGGGTCCATATTCCCCCGTCCCCATCAAGGACATTCTCTGCTCTCCATTTCTTCCCATCACAATTTTTCCCATCCTTCAAGCGACACCTCCTCCATGCAGCCACCCCAGATCCCACCTGAAAGGCACTTTCTCTCATGCTGTCCAGTACTCTGGACACAGTACAAAGAAAGGAGCCCAGGATGGGGTGGGGGTGGGAACCTGGGTCCTCACCCTGCCCCCAGTTGCCCATGAAACCCAGCCTGACTGAGATGGAGGCTGAACTCTGGGGTCCTGTCCACAGCGATGTTTTCCAAGGGTGCGATGCTCTGGAGTTCTGCTAAACATGCCCATAAAACCAATGGAAAATCGACACTTCCTCTGGATTAGACCTTACTCACTGCACTAAAATACTGAATGGGCAACAGAAAATTCCCACTGAGCAATCGGCGTGTTGCATCTGGGAGATTGTAACACACCCTTCTTCATGCAGGACCACACAGATCTAGGGATCAGCAATGTCTAGGGAGGCAGTGTCCTTTTGGGGGATGGTGGGGTGCTTCTGGCCCTCCAGTGGTGCCTGGCTCCTCACTCCCAGGTCTCCCTGTGCACAGACATGATTCCTCCTGGCACTTCCTACTGTACCCCTGGTTCACACCGCCACAAACACCCCCCATAGCTGGGGACGCTTGCTGTGCCTGGTGCCGGGCAGGAGCTGGGGTGTTCCTCCCCTCCTTAAAGCCCCTCCATGGCTCCCTACTATACTCAATATAACGATCCAGCTCCTGAGCTTGGCTTACTAGTCCCTTCCTGACTCCTTCTCATCCCTCAGGGGAACATCCCTTATTTTAAGAACCCTCTCCTGACTCCCCAGGACTGAGTCAGAGGCTCCTCCCAAGTGCTACCACAGGCGCCATGCATGCCTTTGACCATGGCTGTCTCCCGGATGCAACTATGGACTTCTGGTGGGCAGGGATAGTGTCTCTTACATCCCTGATATCCCCAGGGCCAAGCCCTGTGCCTGGCATGGGACTAGGACTCAATGAAAGGGAGGGAGGCAAGGGACAGGCAGAGAGAGACGGGGGGAAGGGGGCAGGGGGAACGAAGGGAGGTAGATCCTCAAAACTAGACAAATGGCAAAACTAGACAAAACTAGACCCTGAGAATCTGAGAACTTCAATTCTTAGATCGGGATGAATTCTCTGAGAAGCGTTTTGGCCCAACGTTCCACTGGATGCTGAGACTGGCTGCATGGCCCGTCCCTGTCATTAGGGAGATACTGACTAGATGGGCCCAGCTGGATCTTGGGGGGAGACACCCCGGTCACAGTGAGCCACACAATGTGGGACACACAAACGGCCGCAGAAGAGAAGGCTTCCTGGCACTCGAGAACTGAGGCCTTGGCCCAAGGGCCCAGCACAAATACCACTCAGGGGTCACTCCCCTCTGGGCAGGGTTCTGCCACCCCTCAAGTGCTACTGAACTCTAGAGAAAGGACAAAGCCCACTAAAGTCAAGCCCTTCAGGTGTGCTGGTCGTCTGCGAGCCAGGGGGGTATGGTTGGTTCCAGGGGGGCTCCTGTCTGTGTAACCCACTAGCCGAGAACTAAGGATCATCACCTTAGCACATCGAGAACCCACTCCCTAGTCATAGGAAGGAGCCGTGAATAGATGAGCCAGCTCCCCCTGCAAGGGCATTTAAAGTCTATACAGTCTTAAAAATGGAGGCCCGAGGAGGAGGAAGAAGGGAAGGTGGAGGAGGGCGAGGAAGTAGCGACTGTTATCACGCGGCTTTTCTGGAACACAGCTATTGTGTAAAGTTAGGTACAAAGGTACGTTGGGACCTTGGCCTCCCTGGTTTTTTCAGAAGAAGATGGGACATATGTCTCTTGAAAAAGGCCAAGAGGCTGACCCCCAAACCCTGTCTCAGCTGGGAAAGGGGTGCCTCTTGGAGCCCCACATTTCTCCAGCCACTGACAACTGCCTCCCTCCACCAAGGGCTGGAGTGAGGCCAGGGGCGGGCCTTACCGTGGGCCTTGGCCTTGTACAGTGCAGCCGTCAGCAGGAAGTTCACAATGTCCCCCGGCATCACGTCTTCTGCACGCGCGAGGACCATGGCACCGCCTGCCGCCTGCATGGACACCAGGGTACTGCCAGCTGCCTGGCTGGCCAGCTGGTAGGGGCCCTTACCTAGTGCTAAAGAGAAAGGGCCCAGTCGTAAGGCCTGCCTCCTTGGGCCTCTGCCCACCTCCCATCCCTACCTGCCTACCCCTGCCAGAGGTAGGGCAGAGGGAGGGTGCCAAGGAGGTGCTCGTGGTGACTTTCCTCACCCCATGCCCCAGGGACCTTGAGTTCCATGAGAAGGAAAGACAAGAACCCCAGGCTTCCAGCCCCCCTAACAGGGACTGACTCTCTGCACAGCACCTGAATCATTTCACAGGAAGCCTGGGAACAAGGCCACCCGTGGGGGCATCTGGGCCCCCAAAGTCTCTCTGTGGGCCTGTCCCACTGCCTGAGACTCTGCCATTGCAGCCACTGCTATGTTCTGAGTCTCTACCGGGAGGAGATATCAGACTTGGTCTCTGCCCACCCATGGCCTGAGGGATGAAGGCCAGGGAGGCTTAGGCTCAACATTAGTGTTTCCTTCTTTTAAACATCTGTGACTTTTGTGTCTCTTGGGCTCGTGTGGTTGTCAGTACAAGTTGGTTGCCTAGACAACTGTTAACAGCCTCTAACTGACTCCCTGCCCCTGGTGTGCTCTTACCCCCAGTGCCTCCTCCCCACAGGTGCCTGCGTCATCTTCCTAGCCACACTCCCTGCTGGGACTCATCGGTGGCTCCCCACTGCCCCCAGGATAGAATCCAAGAGCCTAGCTTGAATTCAGGGGCCCTTCCTGCCCCAACCCCTGCCTACTTCCCCACCTCCCCACACCCTTGCCCCTACCACCCTGAACTTCCCTCGCTCTTCCTTGAAGGATCTGTGCTGTGTCCTATCGTGTCTCCACTCACGCTAACCCTCCCACTCAGTCTTCCCATTTTGCGTCTGGCAAACGCCTACTCGATCTCTGGGACCTAGCTCAAATGTCACCTCCTTGGTGAAGCTGTCCCTGCACCCTCCCCTGCCACACACAAACATCACCCATCCTCCTCTGCACTTCACCAGCCCTTGGAGCACAGCACACACGGGTCACAGCTCTTACGATGGATCTCAGTCAGGGGTTCATGTTAGTCTCCCCCACTAGACAAAAGACAGGCAGTCCTGTGCTGGCAAATAGTTCACAATCAGCACTCAAAACCCAACCAAACAAAGAAGACCAACTTGTAGTGTTTGCTGATTTCCACGGTGTAAATGCTCCCACCCGTGGTCATTTTCAAACTACCAACTGAATGTGGCTCTAGAGAGCCAGCGTGGGCTGGCTCCGGCACACACTGGGACAGCTCTCGGTGACCACTGACTCTCCAGCACCTGGCAAGGGCCTGGACCACAGAAAATGTTGGTAGAAGAGCAGAGTGAAGAATGGATGGGTGGGTGGGTGGAGGATGCTAGAAGCAGCTTGTCCTTTGCCGGTGACTGCCACACAAAATGTCACAGAAAGGAGAAAATCCTGCCGAGCTGCCTTGCTGAAATGTCTTGCCTGATGTCAGACAGACCCTGCCTGTCCTAGGGACCAACATTCTCCAGTTACAGATTTATTCTCTAGGGGATAAAAGTTTTTGGCCATCAGGAGCCCCCAGGGACTGACATAGCTGTGAATGATGCTATACCCCGGTCCAGCCCTCACCTCTCAGAGCCCCTAACTGGTATCCTCGTCTCTAGATGGTACCCTATCATTTCACCCTTATACACTTTCCAGGGGGATGTTTCTCAAACCCAAATCTGATAATGCAGATAACTAGATGAGAGGACAAAGCCCTAGGCCCATACCCACATAGGCCTGCTCCTAGCAGGGTAGTACCAGGAATAGGGGCGGAGGACTTGGAAGTCAGAAGTGAATAACACCAAGGACATGATGATGAGCATCTGACTCTGCCAAGGCCTGACCCTGGCCCAAATGGACAGAGATTAGTGCTAAAAACTACTCCTGGGCAGCCCTTCCCCTACTGCCCACCTGACCCCAGTGATTAAATTGACCAATTAGCTCTAACACTGGACATTAACCTCCCTGGGGTCTTTCGTCACAACCTGTGTTTTCATCCTAGTTAATGCAGAGGTGGGAGTATATCCTGGTACCTTGCAGCCTCGACTAAATTTGATGATGAAATCTGACAGCTGAGCCAGACTATAGGTTTTGCCCTAGCCAACCTCAGGAAGAGCAGTGTGCAGCTGCTATTGCCAATTCAAAACTTCAGGAAACCCAAGACGACATCCCGTGGGTCTGATGAGCTAGAGTATAAAGGCTGTGGGATGGCACATTGGTGCAAATGGGGTTTTTCTTCCTGGTGAAGCTGCCCTGGGTGAGCACAATCCCTGGGAAGCTGGCCTGGCCTGTGCCGGACAGAGGCTGCAGGAGCTCCTAGGGACAGCTCTGCTGCACCCCTGGGCCCTGCATGGTTAGGGCTCTTTCTGTATGATGGGGTTCCTCCCTGCCCCATGTCATGGCTCACCCAGGGCCAGCAAGGCCTCAGCATGGCTGATGTTACTGTGGCACCAGGACAGGGCTGGCAGGGCCCCCAGCCCCCAAGGCTCCACTTGGGAAGGATGGGCTTACCTTTGTTAAAGAAGTCACAGTCGTATGCTGAAAGAGAGAGAACAGAGACCGCTTGAGAAGTCTGGAACCGACAGATAGCCCCTAGCATCCCAGTTTTCCTTCCCCAAGGGCCAGGCCTGGCCTGCCTCCCAAACTCCAAGATTCAGGCATGGTCATTGGATTCAGATGTCATACGGCACAGGAAATACAATGGCTCCCCACTGTGCCCCCAGCACAAAGCTGAAAGCCTGGCCCAGCGTAGGCACTCACCATGTAGCGAATGAATGAATGAATGAATGAATGAATGAATGAATGAATGAATTTTGGGCAGAAGGATGTGTTTTGTGTGTTCCTGAAGGGCAAAATTAGAATCAAGGGATGGAAGTTCCAATCAGAAATGTTGCGGAAGGTCCTGGAGGAATGCAAGCACAAGATAGAAGTCGGTTTTCCAAGAGCCTTGGTAGGGAAGGGACTAGGTGCTTCCAGGATTCAAGGCTTTTTCAGGCCGCTGCATGCAGTTTCCAGCAAGCTGTGACAAGCTCCCACAAGCGTGTGCTCAGCTCGCTCTCTAGTGGCCAAGTTTAGCAACACAGCCTGCTCCCCTAGCGCCTCAGCCAAGGAGTCCTCAGGTCAGTTTATTGGGGTAAGCTGGGGACTTTGAGGGGGCATCCAAATCCAGGAGCAAGGCCATGAGGAGCCAGGTGGGCAGACCTGGGATAAAGGCTGAGGAGGGGCCTCTCCATTCATAGGCATGGTTTGAAGAGATCCATTAACTCCGCCCCACGCCCAAAACTCCATGATCAGCACTATTCCTTTGCATTTGACATCACCCTCTGGAAAGCGCACTAGGAAGATTGACCCACTGTGTGGCTATGCGCAAGTACCTGCTTCTTCTCGCCTTTGGACTCAGAAGACTGAACTGGAAAATTAGAAGATCTCTGAGTCTCTGGTTTCAAGTGTGTACCAGGTTAATGGGAGGCAGCCCAGAAGAGTCGCCAAGAGCCAGTTCCCTAGAGTCAGACCTCGGTTAATCTCATCTCGCTCATTCATCAGCTGTGCATACTGGGACAAGTTGCTCAACCTCTCTGAAATTTAGCGCCTTCCTCTATAAGATGGGACCACCGCTAGTATCTGCCCCACAGACTTGCAAGGCCTGGACTAGGGTAAGGAAAGTGCTCACTTCAGGTGCAAAATTTAAGGGGGCATCAAGAATCTCAGTAATCAACATATATAATATTTTAATTCAATACTTTTTAAATTTCAAAATTAAGGCAAAATATCATGAGGAATGAAATATCAAAACTTAAAGACAGGATCAGTGACAGCAGCTTGCCAAGCCATATTGGAACCTGAGGCGAAAGGAAAAATCAGTAATATTGACCCTGTCATACTTAAGACTTTGATAGTTTGTTCGTCAAAGCTACTTTTGCATTCATTTTGAGTTTTGAAAGATACTGCCTTGAACTATGACTTATGGTGACTACTGATCGTTTTTGTGCCCTGTTAAATCTTGGACCCAAGTGAGTACCTCACTTGCCTCCCCCTCATCCTGACCCTGGATATAAATGAGTTAATGCACAGAAGGCACAGGGCCTGGCACACCGTAGGTTCTCACTAACTGTGTGTTCCCTTCTCCCTTCCGGAAGGATTTTTATCAGAGAAGTAGAGAGAGAAGCAGACTGCATGAGGACCTAGGGCATCTGTGGTGGAAGGGTCTCAGGGGGAAACGGGCAGAAAAAAAGGAGAGCAAAGGCAAACTCTGCTCCACCTTCTTCCTAGGTCACCCTGTCTAGAGCCCCCAGGGCTCAGGACATGCCAGCACCCATGTCCCCATGAAAAATGATAGCACCTTAGCAATAGCATAGAGCACTGTGCCAAGCCCTGTACATGCGTTATCTCATTTAAATCTCACAGCACCCCTGCAAGGTAGATACGGTTCTCCTAACCCTCAATTACCACTCAGATGGAAGCAGCGTGCCCCAGGTTACCCTACTTGGTGGAGCTTGGGTCTGAACCCAGACAGTCTGAACCCCAGAACCTGTGTTAATACCCACTGCACACCAAAGTGAGGCAGGCTTGCACCAGGAAGATCATGGATGTGCAGGGAAAAAATAAGAATCAATTAATTAATAATTTAAATTTCTATGTTTTATTTCATATTTTAAGAATTTACTTTTGTGTCTGTTTTGTGATATACACTTATACTACTACTAGCATTTATGTACATGTATTTATGTATGCATATGTACATATGTGTGCTTGAAATATTTTTACTTGATAAGAGTATGCAACCAAAAGCATTTGCAGACCATCATGGCTCTAAATATACTGATAGCACGTCTCCGCTGACAAAGGGCTTTGACATTCACTCTCCTGTTTGATCTTCACAATACACCTGGTGGGGCAGGTCTATTCCTATTTTTCAGTTGAGAAAACTGAGCCCCAGAGAGGCTGAGTGACTGGTCTGAGGTCACACAGCTCACACATGGCAGCGCTGGGTCTGGAACCCAGGGCTCCTGACTCCTCTAGCAAAGTGGTTAAGAGGACAGGTTCGTAGCCAGACTCTCTGGGCATGAGCCCTGCCTCTACCACTCACCTGTGTGACCTTGAGTAGGTTACTTACTCTCTCTCTAACCTGTTTCTCCAACTGTAAAATAGGAATAAACAGTCCTACTTCACAGGGTAGTTGTAAGAATTCAATGAACGATACACACAGAGCAGTTGATGCCGGGCACATAGGAAGTAAGCAGTAAATGCTAGCTAGCCAGAGTGACGGCACCCCACAGGCCTGCCCATAGAGGGCTCCTCTCTGCCCCTTGGATGGTTGGTCTAGAAGACACTTACGGCAGAGGCGTGGTGTCCTCCAGTCGATGGCCACCCCATGCTGGCAGCACTGGTGGGCATAGGCGGACACACTGGCACAAAAACACTCACAGTCACCGCCTCGGCTGCACCCACATGTGTCTGTCAGGCAGTTTGAGTAAAACCAAGTGACATCGACCTATAAGAGGTCAGAAGTCAGAGGTCAGAGGACTGATCCTGAAGGTTAGTCTTGAGGCTTCCTGGCTGATGCCACTCGGCCTCAGGGAGCAGCAGGAACATGAAGGGACGACAGGACGGGGCGAGCTGCCCGTGTGGGGTCCGGGACCTAGGCTATTGGATCCAGGAACTGAAGGTGTGGCTGAGATACAGACATGGGGTATGTATTGCCAGCCAGGGCTAGATGACCAAGACAATCTGACAGCAGCCTTTGAGTCCCAGGAGGGTGCCAGCTATCTTCTGTCTCCACTGAAGGCAGAACAGGCAGCAGGCCGATGCCACAGCATGAGGGGCTTGGGATCACTAACTCAGAAGAAACTACTGACCAGGAGGAAAAGCCAGGTTGAGACAGGCTCAAAAGGGCACAGAAGCTGTGCTTGGCTGTGTGTCCTGGCTCGTCTGGGGAAACAGGACAGTCTCATCGAAGCATGCTGGAGGCAGAGGAATGGCAGAGATGGGTCTCCCTTCTAGACCTGAGGTGTCCCTCCCAGGCATGGTGGGGAGGCGGGTCTGAGAGCAGAGGGGATCCTGGGGAGCAGGGAGGGGGCTTAGGAGCGGCTGAGGTTGGGGTTCACTCACCACAGGGTGGCAGGTCTCAAAGACTTCACTGAGCAGGATGCTGCACTCCTTTTTGGCAAATGGTTCTCGGAGAGGATTCAGGACACACGTGTCCTGGGGATCAAGGCTGTCTGGACACTGAGGGGCAAAGGCAGGGCTGTCAACCTCCCTACCCACCAAATGCCTGTTGCCTGATGCGGTGGACAGGCTCTTAGAGTGGCCCCGTTCCCCACCTCTGGTGTCCACGTCCTTGTATAATCCCCTCAACGTGTGTGTGTGTGGGAGGGGGGCACTTAGGACTTGCTTTAAGCCTACAGAAGACGGCAAAGGTGATGAAGGGACATGGGTGTGTGTATGTGATCGCATGATTACGTTACAGAATTATTATAGCAGAGCCCATTTTGCTGCAGTCTCTCCCTTGCTGGCTGTGAGGACGCAAGCAGACATGTTGGGGAAACTCACATGTCAGGGACAGTAGGTAGTCTCTAGAAGCTGAGGGTCGTCTCTGGCTAACAGCCAGCAAAAAACCCCCGGATGCTTTCAGTTCTACTGCCGCAAGGAACTGAATGCTGCCATCACAGCCAGTGAGGAAGCAAGTCCCTCCCCAGCTGACGCTTCAGGTCAAAGTCCAGCCTTGGCTGACAGCTTGGCTGCCGCCTGTGGTACCCGAAGCAGAGGACGGGGTCACATCGTGCCCTGACTCCTGACCCACAGAAAATGCGGGATAGTAATACATGTGGGTGGTTGAGTGCGGCTGAGTCTGTGGTAACGCCGCTACACAGCTACAGGTAATGAATATGGATTTCCCTGATGTCTGCTGACCCTCCTGCCTCAGGCCTGTATTTTCACGAGTCCCCCAGGGTATGCCCACGGGGATTAGTGAGAGAGAAACATGGGGGCCGGGGGCGGGAGGCGGGCAGCAATAAAGGTGTCAACCACTCAGCCTCTCTAGAATGGGATGGGTTAGAACACATTTTTCCAAGGCCGTGAGAACAGCCTTATCCCTCCATGACTGACAGCTCCCCGACTCCAGTCTGCATAGGCTTATCTCAATCTACTCCCCAACAGAGAATCAGGGACCCCAGATCACTCAGTCCAGGAAAGCCACTCATATCACCACTCTCCGCTGCTGTGCCCATGGCAGACATAACTCATCACCCACAGATTTCCTTCCAGCTGAGCTGGACGCAAGTCATAGATATTTCTCAACCCAGTTTCCCAGGCAGCCTCTTTTGACGGGTCAGAGTTGTCACATGAGGTGAAATCTATTCACCATCCCTCTCCTGGAACAGTTCCTTCACTTCACAGAGAACCAGAGGAGATAGGACTCACTCAAGGTCACCCCACAAATTACTGGATTATCCAAGATAAGAATCCAGGTCTTCTGCTCTCAGTGCAGTGCTCACAACTTGGCAGACTCAGTCACACAATTTCCTAAACTTTTGGAACACCCCCTCCACCCCCCTTATTTCTGCCTCTGCTAATGTTGTCCTCCCTCTCAGAGGCCTTCTCTCTGATATATTCATCCTTCCAAATATGGCCTATTTTTTCAAGTATCACACTAGTCCCACCTCCTTCAGGAAGCCTTCTCTGATTGCTTCAACCCACATGGGTCTCTCTTGGTCTCTCCTCTGTGCCATACCTAGTGCCAGGCACTGGGGGCACAGAGACGGGTGAGATGGTCATGCTTCATCAAGCCTCACATTCCTGCAAGGTGGGCATCTCTCCTAGGACACAGACTTGTCTCCTTCCCACTCTTGCCCACCTCCCAAAGCCTAGTCCAGGGCAGGTAGGTGTGCAGCCCGATGAGTGAGACGGGACGGTGCATGTCCCCTGCACCACAGGACAGCCTAGAGCTGAGGATGCTAGCTCAGAGGATGAGAGAGCAGTTGCAGGAGCAGCCTCACACTAATGTCCCTCTTCCCTGACCTGGGCCACGTTTTCGCAGTTCAGGCCAGGGCCCGTCTGGGGGAAGCTTTACCTCGACTGCAGCCCAACTGCTGCCAAACTCCTGCGGGTTCGTTAACTCTAAGTTCTCCGGGGTCCTCATCTCATTGATGGTTTTTAAGTCAAAGTTCCCACAGAGTCCTGCCAAGTGGCCCTGAAAGAAGAGAGGACACCATGGTCAGTTGCAGGGTCCCTAGGGGTGAACCATTGGCAGAGGTGTCACCATGAGCCCATGAGTCTGTCGTGAACCCAGAAGCAACTACTGGCATCACAGCGTGAAGAGGAATAGGAGAAGGGTCAGAGGAGGAGGGGCACAAAGCGGGGTGGGAGGGGGTGGGATCGGACAGAGGCACGATGCTCCCAGCTCTTCCATGAGGGTGCAGCTCACCCAAAGACACCCAATGGCTTGGCTCAGCCCCAGGCAGGAGAAGAGGGTCCCGTGAGGGTCACTGCTCATGTGACTACCTGCCACTGTGGCCCAGCCTGGATGTGCACGGTGGTCCTCTGGTCCCATAAGAGGGTGATGTGCTCCCGTGGGAAATGCACCAGTGTGAAAAATCCTGCTCGCCAGGTGTGGACCTCCTGCTTCTCATCCAGGAAGCTTTCAGGACTCTAAAGGGACAGAGATGGGCATTCTGTTTTATTATTATTATTATTATTATTATTATTATTAGTTTCAGGTGTACAAAACAATGCAATAGTTATCCTTTTCACCCCTCACAAAGTGACAGCTCCCCCTCCCCCCATCCACTGCTCCCCACCCCGAATATCATACATATCTATTACCATTCCATTGACTCCATTCCCACACTATACTCCACGTCCCATGACTATATATGTATTAAATTATAGTTGACATATAATATTATTCAATGGCAGCTTCAGATGTACAGTGGAGTGGTCAGGCCTCTACACCGTCCATGAAGTGGTCTCCCTAACAAGACATGAAACCACGAAATGGTCATTCTTTTTTTTTTTTTTTAAAGATTTTTATTGGGGAATTGGGGGGATGGGAACAGTGCTGGGGAATTGGGGGAAGGGGAACAGACAAGTTGCTGTCCTTTTGTTCTTCAGTCTAGTTGTGGAGGACGTTGCTTCACTGGCCCAAGTTGGCACCATCATTGCGCTCTTCCCGGGTGAGGCAGATCAGTCGCCGGCTTCTGGACGGCCGCTCACTGAGGCTGCTGGCTGCTCACGCTGGCTGCTGGCTACATACGGTAGCCCATGGCAACCCACTGCCACAGGGGCTGCAGCCTACGCCATCGCGGGTGACTCACGGGCAGCCCAGCTCCAGGTTGAGCTGTTGTTCAGCATCTTAGCTGTAGAGGGCACTGTCACTGGTCCTCATATGTGGGATCCGAACCGGGGCCCTCTGGTGTTCCAAGCCAGCTCTTAACCAACGCGCCACTTGGCCGGCCCAAGATGGTGATTCTTGAGGCCAAGCGTCCCCAACAAACACTTGGGTTGGCTGGGCCTGGCTATAAGTCACTGCCAAGCCCCAGGACCTCACCAACTCCTCTGCCTCCCTCACACCCTGACATTGACCTCTGTCTTCCTAACCCTGGCCAGGGAATTCAATCTGGGCTGCGGACTCCATGGCTCCAAGAGAAACTGCTATGGTAAGGAAACCAGTCCTTAGCCCCCTTCTGCCCCTAGCCCCTGTTACCCTGCAAATTGTCTACACAACCTTCACCTCTACTGGGCCTTACGGGATTTCCTGAGTCGTCATCAAAGATGATGAGTGAGTTCCCAACATGGATGGAAATAAATTTCCTGCAGATGATGCCAGAGCTGTAGCAGTTGACATTTTCTACAATCACGGAGAAGCTGAAATCAGATGTGCTCTGAGGAGAAAACAAGTTACTTTAGTAAAACCAGGGAGAGTAGAGATCCTGCTGAGAGACACAGAGGTAGAGGAACACGGACTCTGAAGTGGTTTTCAATCTACTTCTACTTCTTATTAGCTGTGTGACTTTGGGCAACGTAGTTCAATTCTCTGAAGCTGTTTCCTTTTGGGGTACCTAGGGCAGTGTTTAGCAATGTAGTGACTCTCCAAAACATATCTAATGAATGAATGAATGAATATATAACAGTAATGACAGGGGCATAGGGGAAGGGGTACTCTCTTACGTACACTGATGATAGAAGTGTAAGTCTTTTTGGAGGGCAATTTACAGGCACTGAACAACATTTTACATGTAAATAATTTTTTATAGCAATTCCACTTCTAAGAGTCTAGAGATACATCCACAAAAGTATTCACTGAGCATTTCATTATTGGCAACACCCTAAACGTCCATCAATGGGGAAATAATAAAACAAACTAGAGTACATCCTTTCTATGGAGTTCTACAGGAAGAAGAAAGAAAAAAGTATGTATTGACCATATGAGATAATGTTCGAAGTGTACTATTAAATGAAAAAAGCAAATTGTAGAAACCTATCCATATAAACTAAACTCGTGTGTGTGTGTGTGTGTGTGTGTGTGTGTGTGTGATGGAAAATGATCTTCAGGATTCATACCTGACTGTTAGGAATAGGGAGTGGTATCAGAAGAGATGTGAAGGGGAATATTTGTTTTTAATATAATGCTTCTACATTGTTTTAAATGTTAATGAAGACCATGCATGGCCCTTGAAATTTAAAAAGTCAAATAAAATGGGTTCAATGATCTTAGTCTTGTGGAGTTATTGAAATTATATGTAAGAGCCCAGTACAGTGCCTGCCTCATAAATAGGACTCATTCCATAAAAGGTATGTCATTATTACTATTATTACTATTATATAATGAGATAGACAGGCTCTTTAGACAGGCCCTTAGCAAAACCAAGGTCCCCTTGTTTTTGTCTGTGTCTGGCACTCTCCCACCTGCCCTGTTGGTACCCTTTTTTCCTTCTGGAGGGGATCCTGCCTCTACTGTGCCCCGCAGCGCCCATCACCACTCCTCCTCCTCCTGGTGAGCTGAAGGCTTTAGCACGTAGCTCCTTAAGCACAACAATTTCCAGTCAGATCTCGTGGTTCAACCCTGACCTCGGCTCTGCCACTGTCTAGCTGTGTGACCTTAAATCCCCTAAATCAAAGTTGCTACATCAATAACACGGGGTCAATGAATGATCTCGCAGGGTTGCTTTGAGAAGTAAGTAAAATAATCCACAAAAATGGCTCAATAGACCACCGGGCTTACAATAAAAGTTCAAAAAGCATTAGCTCTTATTATAAACAGAAAAAGCATGGGGACCCAATAGGACAAGGTTACTGTGGTGAGTGGACAGGCAGTGCTGAGCTCTGTCCAGCCCCTAGCTTGCTCCCCAGCACTTCTTTCCGCCTCTAGATGGCCACAACCCAGGGCTTGGATCCCCCACCCACCCAATATGCATCGTCCTGCCCTAACGGGTCCTCAGCTGCTCTGGGTCCCCACGGAGCCAGCCAGGCAGACACGTCCGGCCGTCCAGAAGCTCACCTTGACCAGGTGCACTTTGCACGCACCCACGAAGTCGAACGGGAGCCCATCAAATGTGCGGTAATGCCGGTCGCCGTAGGCTGTGCAGGTGGAGGCGCAGGGGTGGAGAGTGCACTGGAACGAGCCTCGCTGGCACACACTGAAACACATGCACCCAGACCAGCTCACAGGGCACGCCGCCTACCCCCACCCCGAAGATCTGACAGAGACACTGCCTGCTGAGCTCTCACTGTGTGCCCGGTAGGGAGTGGGGTGCAACACGTATCATCAACCTCCCACAGAAGCCTGGAGGGTGAGCCTCTGCATCCCTGCTTTATGTAGAAGCCACAGGTGTTAGAGGGCACATGGCTGTGCACACTCATGTATGCACATCATTAAGGCGAGAGGAACCCCTGAGTCAAGGAGACCGTTCTCCTCCTACAAGAGACAAGAGTTCACAAACGCTGAGTGGCTGGGAAGGGCTCGCACAGAACACGGTCATCTCTGAAACACCAGACCAGGAGCCAATACACCCAGCCCGCCCTACAGCTACTTTACACAGGACCTTGTGCCAGCCTGAGCCCTTCGTACAGTCACTGGAGTATGATGTGGGGCCAGGACAGGGCATGGGTTCCACTGGGTGGGGGTCTCCACAGGAATGAGGTGAAGCATCCTGGTCCTGTCTCCTTCCCCTCTCCATCTTAGCCCCACTATTCTAGCTGATGTGCTTTGGTCATTGTCCAGACATTTGAGGAGCCAGGACTCAGTCCTGCAGACACATCTAAGGCTAGAGGAGTGCTGGGATGCTCAGAGCCCCAGAAAGCTCAGGCTGGGCCCGCTGCAGGGGTGCAAGAGCACAGAGGGGATATCGGGGAACCTCCACATGCCCTTCAGAGATGCTCTCTATGCCAGGAACCTCTGAGGGCATATGGCAGAGATAGAGCCACCCAGGCTGGGAGACATGGGCTGAGAGGCCTCGTGGATTGTTGGGGTAGTTACAAGGCCTATGGAGGGGTTATTAGGGGAATCTTGACATTTAAATGATTTACAAGGCTGGGAAGACTCTTGGCTCTCCAAGAAGCAGAGGATAGGTGGAGATCAGGAAAATAAGTTGCTTAAAAAGCAATCATCATAGACACTTCTAGGAGCCAAGACTTTGGAAGATGAGTTAATGTGAGTTAGGCCCAGCAGCAGTGGAAGCCTGGGGGGCTGTTTAGGTAGAGTCTCTACCCACTTCCTATCCCCAGTGCTTGGCCCAGTGCAGGACCTACAGAACTGGTCCCCTGTGTGTTCCCATAGAATCCAACCCAGGCACAAACAATTTCACATATGTATACTTACATTATTTATGTACACATTGCATGCAAATATATTCACATATACACTAACTTACTTTCACATACAGGCATGTACATATTCATAGGAAAACACAAATGCACATTTATATACGCATACATGTTTAAGCACATAAATACAAATTGTATACCCAATGCATGTACACATTCACACACTTTGCACATATATATACCCACATACTAAATAAAGGCATATGCTCACAAATATATATAAACACACCTGTATACATATACAAATTCATAACTGTATACTCACTAACGTATTCAGGTTTATGAATGCCTACCTATTCACATACATGCATGTGCATATACATTCACATATGCAATCTATGCATTTTGGATTTGTGCCCACACTTACATATTCATATAAACATGCAAACACATCATCATGATTACAAATATGTGGGTACACACATTCATATACATGTATGATAAATTTACATTCATGTAAATACTAAAAAAAAAAACACTCTCCCAATTTTTTCTTATGCATACACTTGCATACAGAGGGTGCCAAAAAATGTATACATTTTAAGAAAGGAAAACTGTATTAAAATTGTAATAAAATATACTGATAACAAAAGATGAATACACGTCACGTTTGACTTCTGCAATTACAAGAGGTGCTCAAAGTGGTTACTATCAGCACCTTGACACTTCTGGTTATAGACACTACTGCTTGAGCAACGATGACCAAAGTGTCCACTTGTATACATTTTTTGGCACCCCCAGTATGAATGCAAATCCCTACATGGCACACAAACACACAACATGAATATGAATATGGTGGAAGGGGGAATGCTAGACTGTGCTCCTGAGCCTAAATCCTATATCCATCCTTTCCCCCTTCCCTCCCGCAGCAAAAAGTAAGGGACCCTCACTTACCAGGTATGGCAGGGAGACATGACCTGGTCCCCAGGGAAATACTCCTTCCCCTTCCAAGTGCATGGGCACTCCTCCGGCAGAAAACACGCATCCCCATGTCTGAGTAGGCTGTAGGGACACAGTAAGCAGGTGGTCAGGAAAGCATCCTCCCCATATCTGGCGTCAGTGGAGGACCCTGCATCCACATGGACGCCCCAGAGCGGCTCTCACCACTTATCCTAGAAGACACTGACCATGCAAACACTACCAGCCTACTCAGTGGAGCTCAGAGGTACCTTGATAACTGGCAAAACCAGACCCAGACTTGGAAGTCTCTGCCACCCATCAGGAAGCAAGGCTCAGCTCTACCAGTCACATCCCCCAGCCAGGCTGCATGCCAGTCGCCCCTCAGGCGCTAGCTGTATACCAATGAACAGACCATGGACGTGGGCACTGACCCTCCTGTCCATGTTGCTCATGGGGCAACCAGTAGATCTGCACTAAATGTTAAAGGGCGTTTTTCAGGAAGATGGGAACTCAGCCCCACATGAAGGAATGAAGAGCTCAAAATGAAAAATACGTTGGTAAATATTTTAGAAATTATTTCTTTATTTCTTTAAGAGAGAACTAAGCATTGAGGGCAAGATTAATGTCAGTAAGTTGTGGGGTTTATAACAGATGTAGAAGTAAAATGTATGACATTAATAGTACAAAAAATGAGAAGGAAGCAAATGAAAGTATTTCTGTTATAATTTTGTTGCAAGTATTCTACAGAAAGAGGTAAAATATTAATTCATGGTAGACTGTGATAAATGAAAGATATGTATTTTAATCTGTAGAAAAACTTCAAAATATGCCAAGATATACAGTTAAAAATTAATAAAGAAGATAAAATAGAATACTAAAAAATGAATGACACTAAAGGCAGAAAAGGAAAAACAAAGAACTATAGGACAAACAGATAATAATAACAAGATAGTAGTATTAAATCCAATCAAATTACATTAAATGCATAGACCCTCCAATTAAGAGGAAGAAACTGTAACATCAGCTATAAAAGCAAAGCCCACATATATTTTGTTTACAAAAGTCACAACTGAACTATAAAGACACAGATAAGTTAAAAGTAAAATGATGGGGGAAAAAACATGCCAACACGGGTCATAAGAAAGATAGAATGGCTATATTAACATCAGAGAAAGTAGACTTCAAAACAAGTAGCATTAACAGCAATAAGGAGGGATATTTCATGATAATAAAACAGTCAATTTATCAAGAGAACATAACAATTCTAAATGGGCAAGCACCAAATCACAGAGTTTCAAAAATCAGAAGCAAAACCTCACAGAACTAAAAGGAAAAAGGCAAATCCACAATTATAGTTGGAGATTTCAATACTCTAACAATGCTCTTGACCTAATTGACAATTAAAGAACTCTCTATGTAATAACAGCAGGATGAACATTATTTTCATGCATACATGGGAAGTTCACCAAGACAACTATATTCGGTACCATAAAAAAAACAGTTTCAAAGGTTTGAAATTATACAAAGTATATTCTTTGACCACAATGAAATTAAATTAGAAACCAGAAACAAACTGATATAAGGAAAACTTCCAAATATTCCAAAATTTAGTAACATTTCTAAATAACCCATGGATCAAAGACAAAATCACAGAGGAAATTAGAAAATATTACAACAAAAATAATGAAAACACACTGTATCAAAATTGGTAGAGTGCAGCTAAAGCAGCGCTTACAGGGAAATTTTTAGCTTTAAATGTTTATATTAGAAAATAAGAAAAAATTATAATAAAATACCTAAACTAGAAAATGAGAACAAATTAAATCCATAGTAAGTCATAAGAAGGAAATAATAAAGATAAGAGCAGAAATCAGTAAAATGGAAAACAGAAAAACAACAGAGAAAATCAATGAAACTGATATCAGTAAAATTGACAAACCCCTGGCAAGACTGGATAGTAAAAAAAGAACAAAAGATTCAAATTACCAATTTAAGGAACAAAGAGGAGACAGCACTCTAGATCCTACAGATATTAAAAGGAAAATAAGGGAATATTTGTACAATGTTAAGCCAATAAATTTGACAACTTAGATGCAATGGACAACAAAAACATCAAATACTTACGAATAAATTCAGTAACAAACGTACCAAAACCTTTATGTGAAAACTATGAAACACACCTGAGATAAATTTTAAAAGACCCAATAAATGGAGCAATAATGCCATATTTGTGCATTGGGAGACTCATTAGTGCAACGATGTCAGTTCTCCCTGAATTGATCTACAGATTCAACACAATCCAAGTCAAAATCCCAGGGGCTTTTTTGTAGAAATTGACAAGCTGATCCTAAAATTACATGGAAATGAAAAGACCCAGAAGTGCCAAAAAAAACTTTGAAAAAGAACAAAGTTGGAGCACTATCACTTTATGATTTCAAGACTTACTATAAAACTTTAGCAATCAAGACAGTGTGATATTGGCCTAAAAATAGACAAAGAGATCAATGGAACAGAATAGAGAGTCCTGAAATAGACCCACATTTATACAGTCAATTGATTTTTTGCAAAGGTGACAAAGCAATTCAATAGAGAAAGGAAGGCTTTTTTCTTTTTTTTTTTTTCCTAATGGGACTAGAGCTGGATATCCATCAGGAAAAACAAAACAAAACAAAACAACTTGACTCCATTTTACAACATATACAAAGTATAATAATTTTAAATAGATTATAGATCCAAATGTAAAAGGTAAAATTGTAAAGCTCCTAGAGGAAAACACAGAATATCTTTGCAACCTTGGAGCTGACAAAGATTTCTCAGACAGGACACAGACAGCACTAATCACAAAGAAAGAGATGATAAATTAGACATCATCAAAATTTAAAACTTCTGCTCATCAGGAGTCTTTAGACATATTAACATGCATTAAGTAAAAAATGCAATCCACAGACTGAGAGAAAATATTTGCAATACATATATTTAACAAAGGACTTGCATCCTGAATATATAAAGAACTTCTACAACTCAATAATAAAAAAATAAAATCGACCAAAAAAAAAGGGTAAAAGTCTTTAATGGACACTTCACAAAGGAAGATATATAAAAGGCACATGGAAACGTACTCATCATTAGTCATTAAGGAACTACAAATTAAAACTATAATAAGATATGATTATGTTCTCACTGAAATAACAAAAATGAAAAAGATTGAAAACATCAAGTGCGGATGTGCTGCAGCCAGAACTCTCAAGCAGTGAGAGTGTAAAATCGTACAAATGCTTTGGAAAGTAGTTGGGCAGTTTCTTACATAGCTAAACATATATCTAGCCTAGGGCCCAATTCCATGCTGATGAGTCCATCCAAGAGAAAGACATAGCCGCCTTATTCAAAATAGCCCCAAACCGGAAACAACCCAAATAGCCATCAATATTTGAATTTGGATAAATGAATTACTATATATTCATACAACGGGATACTACTGAGCAATAAAAAGAAACAAACTACTGGAAAATGCAACAATCATTGGATCAATCTCAAAAACATATGCTAAAGAAAAGAAGCCAGATATCAAAGGGTAGATACTGTATGATTCTATCTTCATGAAGTTCTAGAACAGGCAGAATCCATCTTTGCTGAAATGAGGGGCTAGGGCAAGGAACCGCCTGGGAAAAGGCATGGGGCATGAGGGAATTTTATTGAGATGACAGAAGTGTTCTGTATCTTGAGAAGGGTGTAGGTTACAAGAGGGAATAAATTTGTCAAAGCTTAGCAAACAGTATACTTAGCATCTGTGCATTTTACTGTATATAAGTTATGGCTCACTTTTTAAAAATTAAAAGGGAAAAAAAAACCAGGAAGGCACCAAAAGCTAATTGGAAGCTTCATATTTAAGGGGCGCCCACCATTTTGTTGGGGAAGCCCCAAATGTCAGTTTTTGTAGTTTTTGTTGTTTTTTTTTTTTCTCTTGGTCCAGCCAATTTTCAAAAGAATTCTCTTTCATCTCAAGCCTGGGAGACAAAAGTTTCGATGCCACCCACTTGGGAACCAAACTGGGGAAGAAGGCTGGGGTCCCAGTAAGCTTTCACTTCATCTCCCTGTTTTCACTCTGCATCTCATCCCTCCTGCTGTCCCCAACATGAAAGTCTTTTGATTTGGTTCCTCTAGAAACTCACTACCTTTCTCCTGCTGGATGGGGTTAGGGCAGTAGCAAGGCCCCAGGAAGTGGGGGAAGAAGGCATGGGGGGTTGGAGGGGCTGGCTAACCACTCTTTACACAGACTTGCAACTCATCCTCCTGTCTCCCTCCCACCATCCCACCTTCTGAGATGCCTGGAGCCTCCTCTTCCCAAAGTTGTCAACACAATATAGGTGGTTCTCCTTGGTCTGCAAGCATCAGCTGTCAACCTCTGCTCAGCAAGGTCAGTTTCTAAATGTCCACCTTTATTCCTTCTTCAAAAACTATTGACCCCCGCTCGCGCCACTGTCATTCCATTCCTGTTCTTTTTGTCCCTGGGGATTTACACTTTTTTCACTCTTACCAACATGTCATTGTGATTATCGGAGGAAGCAGGGGAAAAAAGCATATGCTTAAGCCAGTGTGTTCTCCCTGAAGCCACTTAACCCTTCTAAGCCTCTGTTTCTGTATGTGTAAAATGAAAATAATGACACCTTCCTCTCAAGGTCATTATGAGAATTTAATTATAGACCTGGGCACACTGCCTCACGCCTAGTCGATACACAATAACATTGGTTTCTTGACCCTCCTTTCCCCATAATTGCATCAGACAACAGCAGGAGGCGAGGTCATTGCTTTCCACCTTCAGCCCAGACTCTGTCTCTCACTGCTTCCTTAGGGGTCTTCCCTGACACCCACCTTCCATCACTCCCTCCTTGCCCTCTGCAGAGCTGCCTGCACCCTTGGCACTTGCTATGTGCCTACCACAGGGAAGAGGAGTATGCAAAGACTTGGAGCTTTGGCCTTTGTTCTCAAAGGTGTCCTCAATCTGTGGAGCACCCTTCTCTTCCCTGTTAAGACACCCTCTCATTCCAAGATCCTCTCAGGGGAAGGGCACAAGTCTTTACGGAGCACCTACTGTGCAATGCCAGCTCCTTGTAGCCACTGTCTTATTTAAATCTCACAGGAACCCTGCATGGTGGGTGTTACTACCTTCAATTCACAGACGAGCAAACTGAGGCTCACAAAAATTGTGACTTGCCTGATGTCACATAACTAGTGACAAATATTAAACCCTGTGAACTGTGGCTGTTCTTGGCACAGTGCCATGACCTGGTCTGAACTTTGAAAGGCCTGGAGCAAAGCAGAAGGATTCGAGCACCGCTCTGTTCAGATCAGTCCTGCAAACAGCCAGCAGGGACTTACAGACAAGAAAACCAATGCCCAAGTGGCCACGTAACTTGTCAGAGGTCACCCAGCCCATTAGAAATCTTCACATCATATCCTCCCCTTTGGAGCCTGGGGGTTAAAAAGGGAACCCCACTTTGCTGTTTGGATCTTCTGAGTTAAATTAATCCCTCATGTTGGACTGTGCTTCAGAACCTTGCTATTCAAAATGTGGCCCCCAGGCCAGCAGCACCAGCGTCTCCGGGGAGCTTGTTAGAAATGCAGAGTCTCAGGTGGAGACTCGTGTACATGTTAACATTTGAGGGGTACAGCCTTAGACACCCCGAAGCACCTTCATGACAGGGATCTCACTGAATCCCTCATTTTCCGATGTGCTCCAGGAGGAAGCCATCAGCCCTCGTTTTATAGATGAGGACCTGCTCAGAGAGGTCACGTGATGAGTCACCGGCAGAAGCCAGCCCAGCTCTCCCAGCTCCAGCTCGCTTCTGTGGCCTTGCCACCATGCTTGGCAGTGAATGACCCTCGGTTCCTGACCCCAGAGGCCCTGACACCCCTGTCCTCAGGCCGAGAGACAGGCTTGTACACCCCAGGACAGTGCTGCAAGAGGCCTTCAATGACAGACACTCTTTACAAGCTCCTCTGAGGCCTAAGGGGCAGCAGACGGTAGCTGAGTCTAGGATCCTGTGCAAGTTCTCACATCTTCACAGGGGTTTCTTGTGCACGGATGCCTTTGCCTGGGAAGGGTCACGCTCATAACCCACATTATTTCCTCTGTGTAGGGGACCAGACCTTGGGCCTCACGGAACCAGCATGTTCTGGCCAATGGGCAGGGTTTGAGTCAGGGTTCCAGGGCAGACCATTTCCCTCCATCCTGCCCCTGGCCTCAGTTTCTTCATCCGCAAAATGGGAATAAGTATCCTTCCCTCCTTTCTCCCGGGGATGCTCTGAGATCGAAGGAGATAATATCAAGGTGTTTTCTAAACAGCAAAGCTCCACCTGACCAGCCTGTCCCCTTCCTACCCTAGAGGCCCTGACTCTCCCACCTCCCTCAGTTCCCTTGGCCGCCAGGCCTGGGCCAGAGCTCCCAGCTCAACACTGATCTCTGCACAGGTTGAAGAACACAGCCGCTCACTGCCAAGCCATGGGATGAGGTGCCCGACTGTCTTCTCAGCCCATACCTGAAGCAAGACCAGCGTCAGGAATGAGAACTGGCAGAGCTGGGCGCTGGGCCCCTGCAGCCACCTCGGCGTACAGAGCACCCACAAGGCGACCCACAAAACACAACTCATGTGGGTCTTCCAGCTTTCATGGCACCCTGGGGGGACACAGGGTGGGGCCTTTCTTTCTTGAGTATTATGGGGTACCAGCCTACCACCTGAGGGCTCTGGTCAGACTTTTGCATGGAAAGAGGTTAAAAGCTGAAACACAGAGTTCCTGTTTCATGGCTTTAAGCCGCTGGACCTTTAGCGTATGCCAGACACCCCACTCAGTGCTCCCACTTTAGTACCTCGTTGAATCCTCACAACAACCTGTACAGGTGCTAAGTGTTGTCATGATTCCTATTTTACAGATGAAAACCAGCCTCAGACAGGCAGGCTCCTTCCTTACTCAAGGCCGCATGTAGGTAATAAGCAGGAACAGGCAGAATCCAGTTCAGGCTGGCTCCCCACGCTCCTGCCCTCTCTCAGATTCCTCACTGGCCATGACGTTGTCACTAGCCAGCCCTGGGCTAGTGCCTGCTGCAAGGCTGTGTGAGGTTCTCCCCTGCCCCTCACTCCCTTCATGGTTCCTACTGGTGCCAGCCCTCAGGAAAGGGAGACCATGGCAACATGGATACATACATACCCTTGGGGACAGGCACAGCCTGAGAGGCAAGGGCCACGGGCTGGCACACTCAGGTTCAGCAGCTGCTGCTCACACGTTCTCTCTCTGCTCAGCTCCGGGTCACTGTGCAGGTCACTGCAGTTCACGAAGACCTGGCCCTCGGGGCAGGCAGTGGCTGGGAGAGAAGAGGGTGGGTGCTGGGAAGAGCGTGAACACTCAGCGGGATGCTCGGAACACCTGGGCCTGGGGTCAGCTCCTGGGTGGCAGGGATGGCCAGGGAGACCTGGGAACCCAGAATCTGGGAGATGCAGGGAGAGATGGGGCTCTGATGCTTTCTTGTGGCCCGGCTGCTCCTGAGGTGTCCCTGGGGCTCCCAGGTGCACATCACAGCAGGAGGGGAGATGTGTGCTGTCACACAGCAGGACAGCTGCCACAGCTACCAGTACCAATGACTGAAGATGTCCTCCCCACCAGGTACTCACATACATTTTCTTAGTTAATCCGCAACAACCCTGTGAGGTATTCTTAGCCCCCATGTTCCCATATAATGGAGAGAAGCCGCGTCTGCTTGCAAACGTCATGATAATGTGAGAGAAAGTGCCCCAGGGAGACCAGGAGAGGGATAAAAATTGGGTAGCCATGCAGCACAGCAGGGCAAACAGGGGACTTCTAACAACAGGAAGTCAATTTCCCATGATCTGTGTGTCTGTGACATAAACCCACTCTCTCTCCTTAAACCCTCAGTCAAATTGGCCATGCACCCTCATACCTGTGTGAGTGATCTATTTTGGGGAAATCAGTAAAAGGGAGCTGAGTTTCATGCCCAGCCTGGAGCAGAGATAAAGGAAATGCCACAGGAGATGCAAGTCCCAAAGAGGCAGAACTCCGAAGCCAGAAGCAATAAAAGGAAAACACTTTCAGGAATATACATGGAACAGGAGAATGTAGCAATGTAGGTTATGTACAACAGTTAACAAAAGCTCAGAGGGGTAAAGTAAGTTACCCAGGACTGCACAGCTAGTGAGTGCTAGGCAGGATTTGAACCCAGGGCTGCCTGGCTCTGGAGGCCCTGCTCTTTGCCACCTGCCGTATAATTATTCTCTGGTCCCTTCTGCCAATCTCCATCCTTAACAGCCTCCTCGCCCAGGAGGCCCTCCCTGAAGATTCCAGCCCCCTGCTCTGCCACCATCAAGCCACTCACAGGCTGACAGACCACCATGCCAGCCCACCCCCATCTCTATTGCCTAGGAGAGTCTCAAAGGCCAGGCTGTCCTTCCCATCTCTGTGACCCCCACATCCTGCACTTGGCTAGGTGGAGAGTCAGCCTCAGTAGACACTTGACGGCTCAGACCAAGGAAATCCAGGACCCAGAGAGGTCAAGGGACTGTCTAGACACCCAGCCAGTTGCCCCTAGGGGAGACAGAGTCTCAGCCTCTCCTTCTCAAGGAACAGGAGGGACAGCCACTGCAGGGGGTGGGGGAAGCTAAGGCTGGGACAAGATTTCTGGATGCCACCCTCCTAGCTGGAGCCTTTCCCAAGAGGGCGAGGGATACAGAAGGCTCAGTGTAGGGCATGATCTGGCTGGGCTCTTCCCATCCTGATCTGTCCTTGAGCTCCCACTCTCCTCTCCAGAACCCCACTACCATGGGGAAGAGCCAGAAGAGCCCCCCTCTATTCCAGCCACTCTTACCTGGGGCTCTGCTATCGCAGCTCATGACTCCATCTTTGCAGTGGCTGTAGAGAGAAGCGTGGGCGGGGGGTGGGGTGGGGGTTAGGGAGGGCACTGGAGTCAGCCGACCCAGTCACTGTAGAGCCCAGACACAGAACCCCAATCACTGTCCCATGCAGGGTTCAGACAGATATCCCGACTCCCTGTCCCTGGCTCCCTGTGCAGAGGAGGGTCAGTGTCACTCCATGGAAAGTTCTGCTCAGGTGCACTTTCTTCAGACAGCAACCTCCATTTAAAGAGAGGACAATAACACGGCTATGTAGGGAGCTCACCAGTGGCCCAGGGATGGGATGTCACTGTCTCCAGGTGGATAGTCCACTCCTTGAAAGTGGCAGGAGCACTGGTTCCTATAAAACCCAGAAACAGAGAAAAGGGAGCCGACTCAGGAGCTGGGGCAGGGACTGACAAAGACAGGGACCCACTCCTCAGCCAGCCAGGGGCATCAGGACACAGAAGGAGGTCATGGCATCTACTGTGACATGGGACACATGCCCAGGGAGTGGGGAAGCCAGCCTGGCACCAAGGACAGAGGTCACGGCTGGGTCCCAGGTTTGAGAGCCATCCACCAAGCTTGGACAAGGACAGCCTCGCTGGTCTCTACACGCCCAAAGCCAACCTCCTTTGGACTATACGAAGAGGGCCACACTTCCTGAACCTGCGCCATGGCGGGGCCAGGGCGCCTACTCTTGTCCTGGTCACTCACACCCAGCATCGGTTCTGATCGCACAGTGCTTATGCCATACTGGTTGTTAAATATTTTGAACACCAGGCTAGGCCCTCCAAACATGTCACGCCATCTGTCCGTCACAGGGATCCTGTACGGCAGAGATCCTTATGCTCTTTTGGTTCCTCGCTGTAGGTCATCTGAGGGCAAAGACTATGTTTACTCCTCACACACCTCCCATAGCACCTGACGGTGATGGCCAGGTGCAGGCCTGGGAGCAGAGCAGTTGAGGGCTGGAAGGGACATCAGAACTCATCCAACCCCAGGGCTTCTCAACCGCCTTCTCCTTCTCCAGCCCCCCACCCCCATATCAGCTACAGAGGCTCCCCTGGTTGGCAATACTCAACGTCAAGGCTTGGGGGTCAGGGCATAGGTGTGGATCTCAAGGATTATGTGGTTTGAAAAGGTCTCTGAGTGATTCCAGTAAACCCCCAAAAGGCCATCACTCAGTTGAATATGATACCACTTTACAGATGGAAAAACAGGCCTGGAAGGGACCGAGGGCCTTGCCTGTCAGCCCTGGGATCCTGCGAGGTCACCACCTCCCACCTCCCTCTCACACTCTGCTTTTCAGCCACACTGAGAACATATCCAGAGCCAGCCTCAGGGCTGTCCCCTGTCCCCTCTGCCTGGAATGTTCTTTCTTCACTTCCCTCAGGTCTCTGTTCAAACATCACCCCATCAGAAAGGCCTTCCTTCCACGCTCACCTCCTGTGACGTAGCAGTAACTCTTCCCCACCCCCACAGACTCTGATTCTCACTCTGCTTTATTTGGCTTTATAGCTCTTCTTACCACCAGACTCATAAAGTATCTGTGTTTGTTTGTGATCTGTCTCGCCACCTAGACTGTGAGCTCTGTGAGGGCAGGATTCTGTTTTGTTCGCTGCTAAATCCCCGGGGACTAGAAATGTCTAGAACATACTAGGAGGTCAATAAATATTCATAGAAGGAGAGGGGAGGGGAGGAGGGAGGCCCTCTGGGTTCTGTGGGGCTGTTCTGTCTTATGGGGAAGCCACACTGGAGGGGCCTGAAGAGCCAGAGCTGAGGAGAGGGGCCTGGGAGGGGAGTCCAGAGGAGGGAGCCCACTCACCTCCCCGCCTTAACCCACCAAGGTCCGCCCTGCGACTATGAGATGAAGTAGGAACATGAGAGGCCCAGTCAGGCACCCCAGTCTCAGATGTCCTGAGGACCCCTGGCCTCCTCCCCACCTGACACAGAGGTCAAGCCAGCCTGCTCACCTGGGGACACAGAGGTCAGCCTGGGTGTCCAGATAGGTGTTCGGTGGGCAGGCACAGCCCTCCACACACTCATCCTCGCTGAGGTCACCACCATCATTAACCCCACAGGCCTCAGGGCTAGCCAGGTCCTGGCAGGTTTGTCCACATGGGGCCACGCAGGGACTATACTCCTTGGTGGCCTCACAGGACAGAGCTGTAGTGAGAAATAGAACTGTGCTTTGTTTCCCCCATCCCCACAACTGTGTGGGATGCGGTCATCATCCTGATGAGGAGAACTGAGAACCAGAGAAGGTTGAGACAATTGCTCATGATCACTCAGCAGGCAAAGGTCCAAGTTGGGATTTGAACCCAGTCTGACTTCAGAGTCCCACTGTCTCCCACAGCACCAGACTGGCAGGGAAGCATCAGGTCTGGGCCCCACTCCCCAAGTTCAGCCTGGACCCCACAATTGGCGTTTGCTCTTCTCTACAGGGCATTCTTCTTAGGTAGTGATATTGGGGGAAGGGTGGAGGTTACCATCTCCTGACAGCCCTGCACCCACCCAATCACTCCCACACAGATTCACACACATACACAGGTATGTAAATACACATGCACTTCCACCCCTCACTTCCACTGCTGTCATACACGGGCTGCAAAGATTGTGCCCCCGCTCGCAGCCTCTTGAGGCCTTCTGTCCTGACTGCCCTCTCCTCATCTGGCCACTGCTCCACTCCCCTGGGGTCATCTATACCCTATCAGAGCCAGTAGATCCACTGAGACCGTCAAGCTCAGTTGTTCTTGCTCAGGCTGCTCATCAAAGCTACCTGGGGAGCTTTTAAACATGCTGATGCCTGGCCCCCAATGCCAGATATGTTGTTTTCATTGATACTGGATGTGGTCCAGATATGTGCATTTTTAAAAAAATTCCCGAGTCTGGGCCGGCCAAGTGGCTCAGTTGTTTAAGAGCTTGCTCAGGGGTTTGACCTCTGAACAACAGCAGTTTGAGTCCGGCCCGAGCTGAGCTGCCGCTGAGCTGCCAACAGGTGGCAGGATGGCTCAGCTAAAAAAAAAAAAAAAAAAAAAATTCCCGAGTCTAATGTGCAGCCAAGATTAAGAACCACTGGTCCTGTTCAATCACCTGTGGAGAAACGTTGGCTCAGAGAGGGGCAGGGCCTTGCCAGGACACATAGCAATTACCTCCAGGGCTGGAATAGAACTCAGGCCTCCTGACTCCCGGCACTGTGACTTTTTCATTTATTCAACAAACATTTCCTAAAAGCTTACTGAGCGTGGGGCCCTGTGCTGGGTCTGGAGGCACAGAGACAACTAAGACGTGGGGAGGTGTGTGGCCCAGCGTGGGGGTGTAGTGGGTAGGGGCCAGCTCATGCTCGTTGAGCCACATGTGCACCCAAGGGCCAGTGGTCTTTAGAAAGCTCACTCTAGCTCTGATCAGAGTGGTAGCAATGGCAGTGGTGAGAAATGGGTACATTTGGAGCTGACAGGACTTGGAGACGGGCTAGAAGAGAGGCTAAGACACAAGTAGTCATGTTTCACATGTCCCAGGCATCAGGCCTGGGTTACCAAGGGGACAGGGGCCCTTGGCAGAGGTAGAGAAGCAGTTTGTGAGGCAGGGGTGTTAGGATGGAGAAGACTGTGGGACGTCCCAGTGGAGAGTTTAGGGGAAAGGTTGACACTCAGGTCTGAAGCTCAGGCTCGTCCAGCTGCCCTCACATGGGCACAAAAGTGGGGGGCACTCACCACAGGCTGGCAGGCGGGCACGGAAGTCAATGGGGAGCCCGTGGCGCCGGCACAGGTGGGCATAGTGGGCCAGCGTGGCACACAGGCAGGGCTGCCCACAGCGGCAGACGTCCCGGCGGCACTGCTCAAAGTAGGGCACAGGGCTCAGGTACACAGAGCAGGGCGCAAACAGCTCCCCTGTGAGCACGCTGCAGGACTGCACCGCAAAGGAGGCTGGGACGGAAGCACGGGGGTGAGGCCCAGGGGTCTGGTTTGCCTAGGTCCCCAGGCCCAGCCCCTTCCTCCCTCCCCACAGCTCAGGGGACTGTGTACATGGCAGTGTGTGTGTGTGAGTGTGTGCACCTGAGTGCACACCTGGTTGGAAATGTGTGGGTTAGTGAGTTTGGATGTGAAATGTGGCTGGTCATGTGCATGAGTATAAGTAATTGTAAAGAGAGAGAGAGAGTGTGTGTGTGTGTGTGTGTGTGTGTGTGTGTACACGTGTATACATGCACTCACGTAATGCATTCCACCTTGTGCCAGACATGAATCCATGTGCTGGAAGGAGACACAGGAGTGAACAAAACAGACAAAAATCTCTGCCCTCGTGGAGCTTACATTCTGGTCACAGGGGACCGTCACTAAACAATTTATATAGAAAAGTCGAAGGTAGAATACTCTAAGGAGAGAGAGAAGGCTTGGAAGGAGGATAGGCATTGCAAGGTGGGGCAAGAGGGACAGTGCCATTTTAAATCAGGTGGTCAGAAGGGTCTCAGTAGGAAGAGGACGTCTGAGCAAAAACTTGGAAGAGGTGAGGGAGTGAGACATATATGTACTGAGGGAACAGCGTTCCGGGCAGAGGGAACAGCAAGTGCCAAGGCCTGGAGAGGCGAATGGACCTGGCTGTGTGGGAAGAACAACAAGGAGGCCAGTGGGGCTGGAGCAGGGTGGAGGATGGGCAGAGGATGTAAGGCCTGCTGGGGCCACCGAGAAGGCTTGGGCTTTTGCCCTGGGATCGGGAAGCCAGTACAAATGTGTGTGTACCTGAGAGTGGTAGACATGAAGCTTCCTGACTAACCCTCACCAGAAGGGAACCCCAGGCCCCGCCCCGCAGCTCTGCCTTTTCTTAGCACTCCTACCCAATCCTACCAGCATCCTTTGTCCAGGGGTCCCATCACCTCTCCCAACAGTCCCACTCTTCCCCACTCCCGCTCTCCTCCCCACCCCACCCCCACCTCACCAGCTTGCAGGTGCACATCACAGGGGTCCAGTGCAGAGCCAGGGACCAGCGAGGAGCAAGCAGACAGTGTTTTCCAAGAATTGCCAAAGAGTTGTGGGGTGCTCTCGGGCACACCCACCGGGGACCTGCAGTGATGACATAGCCACAGTCACACACTTGCCTCCGTGGATCCAGGTGATCATCCAGCATACATCCAGGTAAGCACTCACCTGCTCATGACCAAGCATGAGCACACACACTCAGGGGCACACATGTCCCCACCCAAATGTACAATGCTGCAGACCCATATACACCACTTGCACACACCTTCAACACAATGTACACACAGAGCATAGATATATGTCAGATATGCAAACAGTCAAGGGGGTCTACACAGCCACATTCAAACACATACAATTATGGCTGTGTATTCACACACACATCACATCACATTTAACAGGCTCCAAAGGGACTCAAAATGGGCCACACACTGCCCCACCTTCACCATCCACCCCCAAGCTCTTCACGTCAGAAGAGAGAAAGAGGAACATCCTGAATCAAACTTCACTCTGCGACTTTCTACTTCCTTCTCTACAGGCAGTTCCTGAAAACTCCTTTGCCCTCCCTTTCTCTCTGGGCAAGAGATAGTCACAGAGGGGCAATTAAGAGGACGGGCAAGAAGCGTGTTTCCTGAATGTCATGAGTCTCCAAGCATCACCAAACCCAGGTGTAGACAGTAAAATGGAGAGAGTGCACAGCATCCATGGGGGGCAGGCTGTGCCTGGCACCCACCACGCCCACATCACTGCTCCAGGGCAGTCAGAACCCTCAGGCTACACAGAGCAATATCTCTGCCCAGGGTTCACATTTAGGAGGGTGGCAAGCAACCTACGCACTAATCCAAGGTCTGCCCCCACCATTTTGGCCAGCTGCCCTAACATCAGCCCCGCCAGGCAAGACAGAGAAGCGTGCTACATTTTTAAATACATGTGCGTTCAAAAGCGCTCAGCTTTTTCTTGTTCTTGTTTTTCTGAACAAATCTGAATTCTCATGCCCGGCTAAAGAAAGCCTCCATGTCTCCTCCTGCATCACCTGGTGCATGTAACTGGACCTCCAGCCTTCACGATCAACTCTGTGTTCTCATTTCTGGACGATCTGACTCCTGTCCCCTCCTAAGTTCCCAAACTGTGTCCAGGCCCAGAGAGTCTTTCTCTCAACTCACAGTCAGTCCATGGGAAACAGCGCACTCCCCCTCACCGCCCCCCGAATACTGAGAGGCTCACGGGGTGCGAGCCTGAAGCACCAAACACAAAAGGTGAATGGGTGAGATTGGCCTGTTGGGATAGAAAGCAGGAGTTTGGGCATCACTGGCTCCCTGGGGCCTCACACTCATCTAAAGGTGTTCACAGTCAATTAAAGCAAACAACCATGAGTCCAATCAAACCCAGCCTCAGGTCCACCAATTTTAAGCCTTCACTATAAAACAATATTTCTCAAAGTATGGTACATAGACCTCATATACTAGAATTGCAGTGGTGCTTATTAAAAATGAGATTTTTGGACCCCAAACTAAATCAGATTCTTAAGGAGTGGGACCCAGGAAGTCAGCATTTTAACAAGCAGGGCAGGTGAGTCTTCTGCAGAGAAGACTGTGAACCACTGCCTTAAACAAACATACTTAAATTTAAATGTAGAGAAATAAATAACCAACAGTGAATGTCAGGCCCAGTGAGAGCCAGTGGGGGATTGGGAGATATGTTTTTAGGTGATACCTCTGGATCCTAGGCCCTGGGGGTTCCACTCCCCACACCCCCCCCTTTCTGTTCCAGGGCAGGGACACGTACAGGAAGTCATCCTGCGTGTTGCCGTTGAAGGTGCCACAGAGGCCCACGGTATCCTCCACCCATCTCTGGTCCACCTGCAGGTAGAGCCGCAGGCCTTCGCGGTCGTAGAGCACCCGCACACCCACGTTGGTCCGCACGCGCAGGAACACGGAGGACAGCCTCCGGATCTCAAAGGCATCTGGACATAGAATCGGAAGGAGGGTGTAGGGAGCTCGGCCAGTAAGCACCCCACCCACCACCACCGCCACCTGTGTGGCCTCCTCTCACTCCCATACCCAGCCCAGAGCGAATGAAGCCTTGCCAAGGGGTTAGTTTGGGGAGCCTTGAGGAAATCCTGTTCCATGATAAAATTGGGATCCAGGAATAACCTACCACCGCAGCCCCAGCTCAGAAATTTCTTTTAGCCTCAGGTGCCAATTAAAGCTTTGCCTCCCTATGGAACTGGTATGTTTCCTTCTCTAGCAAAGGAGAATTCTGTAACTACCCATTCTTCTCACAGTGGCCACCAGGAAACTCACAATATGATTTTAGATTCAACGGCAGCAATTTTAAATTTTAGATTCTACTGTAGTGATTTTTATACCCTTGCGGCTTGTGCTTCTTTGGACTCTTTACCCCCTTGAGTCCCCATTCCTCTCAATCGTAAGCCCCTATTCTGGTTTGTTTGTTTGTTTCCTTTTGAATTTTTTCTGATGCTATTTTATTTCTTAATAGTTTTGCCATTTTTGTTGGATGTGCTTCCTACGAGCCACCACAAATCCCTTGTGGAATCACAGGGTAATAAGTAGTTAATAAATAAATAGTGAGAGTAGGGATGGAAAACAGTTCCATTCATATCCTAATAGTAGGAGAAGCCATCATACTGCCAGGAAGCCTGTTGTCATGTTGGGGTGGGGACAAAGACCACTTTACGAGTCCAGAGTCCATGTGTGTGGGACCAAAGTCCCCCCTGGCGTGATTCACTCAGTACTAGAACGTGACCCCGTGCCCGTGGCCAGAGGAGCCTGGACGAAGCCTGGGTAGCCAGCTTCCAGCCAGCTCTCACCCACCAAAGCCGTACCGTCAGTGTAGGGTGGGGTGACCTTGTACTGGTCAAACAGAAGGACATCCCCCGCTTGGGTCAGGGTCACCTGTCTCCGAGGGTCCTGATGCAGAATCACTGACACTGACTGGACACAAACTCCATCCTGGTTCTGGGGAGAGAAGAAGGCCAATGGAGCAGAGTTAGTCTGTCCGTCCTGCTGGTCCCAACAGAGCCCTCCAGGAACAAGGGCTCGAGTGTAGTCTGAGGCCAGGGGCAGGCTCCTCATAGTGACAGAGCCCCAAAGGACATTAGAAGTCCTCTAACCAAATGACCTCATCTGGGGAATGGGAAGGCAGAGGCTCAGATTGGAGAAGGTTAGTGGCAGAGCTGGGATAATGCAAATAAATATGATAGTCAGCTCTTAGGCTGTCTGTGACACAGAGCAGAGATGGACCTTGGATAGCCCAGAGTCTAGCTCAGAAACACGGGCCTCTCCACTCGACTGCACACCAGGACTTTAATTCCATCCTTTTATGAGCGTTTATGTAGCTCTTTCCACGTGTCACATCCTGCAGAGTATTGGGCTCCACTCACAGGCAGGCGGGAAATGAGCTAATATTCTCTGGGCCTCATCTCTGAAATGGGCAGCACACTTCGAGCCCATTCATACCACCCTTCCACAGGAAGACATCCACAATCATATAGCGATGACAGACAGTCCCTGCCCTCATGGAGAGCACGTATTTGTGTGGGACACAGCCAACAGTAACGAAGGAATTACAAAGTCGTTTATGATTATTGTGATCAGCGTGTCAACAGTGCAGGGTGCTAGGACTTAACCTGCAGAAGTAGGAAAGATGATAATAAAGTAAAAATAATCACAATAACAATAAAACTCTAATACCACAACTTACTATAATAATAATAACAGCTAGCTTTAATACAGAGTTCTGATGTTCAGGTACTGTTTTGTTTATATACATTTATTCACTTATTCCTCACAGCAATCCTATTCAGTAAGTACTGCTAGTAACCCCATTTTGCAGATCAGAAAACTAAAGCATGGGGGAAAAGTGACATTTGAACTGAGATCTGAGGAGTGCATAAGCTAGCTGTGCCAAGGGAGGAGAGGAAGGACAGAGAACAGCCTGAGCAAAACTCCCTGACACGGGAAGGCATTCAATGCATTCAAGGACATAGAAGAAGATCAGAGGGGCAGAGCCCACTGGGCCAAGTGGTTTAAGATAAAGTTCAAGAGGTAGCAGGGACCAGCTTAAGCAGAGCTGACACAGCTCAGGAGTCACTTCCTCTGGGAAGCCCTTCCTGCTCCTCTCCATCCTACTGTCCAGGAAAAACAACAACAAGGAGAAGCTCCTCTGCGGAGATCTACCTTGTATTCTCCAAGTTGTCACAGATCCTATAACAGAGTGGGTTATGGGGTCACTTGTCTGCATCACCCACCAAACTGTAAGGCCCAGGAGGGCAAAGCCAGGTCTAATTCGCCTGTCTCCAAGACCCAACACGGCTTCTGGAACAAGTAGATGTTAAGTATTTGCTGAATGAATGAATCAATGAAAGAAGCAGAGAATATTAAGTTGAATTAGAGCCATGTTAGAGATTTTTTTAAAAAACACCGAGGCCCAAGAAAGGGAAGTGGCTCTCAGGTGTTCTAGAGCCAGAACCCAGTCCCCTGCCCCTGCCCCTGCCCAGAAAGAACAGACAGCAGGGTGAGTGGGCTGCAGAAAGACCTGGGGCCCTGCCCTAAATCCCCTAGCCTCTCTAGGGGGCAGAGGGCTGGGGTGGCTGACTGGATTGGGCGTGAGGTCCCCAGCCCTTACCAGGCCACAGGGGGCGTTCTGCAGTGTCACTGTGAAGGTGCCTGAGGAGCGGCTCTTGGCCAGGATGTACTGACACGTGGCGGGGAAGGTGTACCGGCGGCCATCAAAGGTGGTGAAGTGGATGTCGCCAGTCACTGAACACTCGGCTGAGGGGCAGAGAAAGATGGCTGACCCATGGGAGCTGCCCCACGGGGACTGCCTCTGCCCAGCAGGCTCTGAGCAGGAGGGGGAGGCAGCACCCTGGCCTCAGGGATCAGGCAGTGTTTGGAGCCCTGGCCTGCCCTTTGAAAGCAATGGTCACTGGGCATCTCCCTGACAGGAGACCAGGTCCTGAGCTTGGAGACCATTTTTGGTCCAAGCCTTTCAAGCTCAGGAAGGTCCTTAAATATACAGAACCCCATGAAACCATCCCTGACAGGGAGTGGAGCAATTGCTCAATCAGGCAAAGCAGCTCTGAGGAAACGAAGGGAGACAAGCCAACCCAAGGAGCTGAGTGAACACCCCACTCCCTCCACCCCACCCCCACCAGCATGCCTGACTCCTAGAGCTGCCCTTCCCCAAAGGACAAAGGTGGGGGTCAGACGTACCTGGGCAGACAGATGTGCTGCACACCCACTTGCCCGCAGTGCATGTGCTGAAACAGAGACCAAAGAGGCAGGGGCTCAGCCCTCCAGGCCTGTGATAGATGCTGGAGGATGCCAGAACCCACAGAGCTCCTGCCCTCAGCCCTCAGTCTTCCCATCTCTAAAATGGGTGGTGGAGATTCTGCCCACGGAGTATCGCTAATGAGATCTCCTGTGACTCAGAGTGGCCGAGTGAGTTCCCCCATGTCGTCTGGGACTCCCAGACCCCAGATGGGCAGCCCTGATGGAAAGCCCCGGAAGTCACTGCCTCCCCTCAAACCCCAGCAGTGCACACAGACCAGGCATTGCAGTCTTCTTTCACCACAGAGCCAGTTGGGTACAGGGTCCCGTGGAACTCACAGGGACACTCAGCTGGTGCCACACAGCCCCCATCCTCGAAGATCAGCCCTAGGGTGACAGCAAAGGCCCACTTAACTCGCCTCTACTCTTGTTCACAAACCTTTCACAGCTCCCAGGGCCTGTGATAAAGATCCCCTCATCCAAGCTCTTTCACCACTGCGCCCACTTGCAGACTTTCTCCTGTATAAATCCTTGGTTCAGGTCAGATCTGAATCCCTTCTCAGCAAATAATCCCACCTCCAGAAATGTGTTGATAGGACCACCCACCCCAAATAGCCTGCATACAGGCTAGCTTCTCCTCTCCACCCCTGGAAAGCCTGTCACTGTATCTAGGACCAGCTCAGGTACCACCTCTTCCAGGAAGCTTTCCCTGACATCTGTCCCCCAACTGAATTCCTCTATCTCTTCTTGTCTGAACCCCTGAGCTGGTCCTCACCACATTGTGCCTTAAACTGGAGTCAGATGTAAGTGTTTTATCACTGCAACCAGATTCTGATCCCTAAATCAATTACGTATCTGTATATTTTTTTATCCCAACTCCCTGCCTAGCTGAGTGACCTGCACACTATAGATGTGTGACAGTCATACACCTTGAAAAACAGTGTATGGATGAATGTTGAAACAAATGCATTGTGATAAATTAATAAATGAAGGAATGAATGACTTGTCCTCATCTACACAGCTTAAAAAGCTCAGTCCCAATGAAATGTTATGAGCCTCTCAAGTGCCATGGTTCTGCCCCTCCCTTCCCCTCCCTTAAGCCATTCATTCATTTATTCACTTATTAGCTGTTTGCTCCTTCCTTCATTCACTCCACAAACAGGTATCCTCTGAGCCCTGGCTTCATGCTCATCCATGTCAGACCAGGAAGATGCTGCCAAGCACCCACTCCACCCCCAGCGTACCGTCAGGGCAGTAGCAGCCGTCTACACAGGCGATCTCACTGTCCACACAGGACACCCGGGACTGGCAGGAGGCGGGGCAGCAGGCAATGCACTCGTTGTAGATAAAGGCCTTCTCCTTGCAGTGCACAGCTTGGGAGGAAGGGAGCAGGATGGCCTATCAGCTCCTTACCTGGCCCCAGCTGTGCCAAGACCAACCCAGTCCCTACCCCAGACCCTGGGGTGGGAGGTCTTTGATTTTCCTGATCCCCTAGTCCCAGTGGGAATACTGGGTGACCAGGAAATTGGAGAGAGCCTGGGAGGCTCTGAAAACCACCTTCATCTCACTCTGCGGCCCTAGGCCAGTCCCTTCCGCCCTGAGCCTCAGTTTCCCCATCTGTCACATGAAGATGGGACCTCAAAGCTTAAAGCTCATACAACTGTGGTTCCAAGCAGGACAGGATGTCGAGCTGAGGCCTGAGAATGCCACTCACAGCTCCAGGACAGAACTTGTCTGAACCCCTCCCCACCCACCGCCAGGCTGCACCTACTGCATTGCTGAAGCTGAGTCCTCCAGCCCTGCAGGGGCCGCCCCGCCTGGGCACATGCCCGGGCATACTCCGCTAGTGCCCGGCACCAGATGGCTTCATCACCCACTGATCTGTGCAAAGAAATCGAGGGTCACACTAGAGCAAGGCCCAACCTGCCACCAGCCCTCCAGCAC